CCCCAGCCAGCCGTTTCCTCCCACATAAGCGCAAGCAGAGACCCTGGCCCTCTGTAGAATTATAAGCTGCCAGACCCAGCGCGCTTCCGTGGCTCTCAACTAGGAATCACTGTTGACCCCAGGGGAAGGGCATGGGGCGCCACCTGTTCCTTGAGAAACACACTCCTGTTGGCCTTCCTTTCCTGGGGGCCCTTGCAAAGGCCTGTTTAACCTTTGATAACCAGGACAATAGACTCAAATTTCCAACCTTTCACATCCATAGACACATAGATCGTGAGTTCTCTTTGGGGGAATACAGTTTACATCTTAGACAACCAGGGAGGCAGTGGGGACTGGATAGTCAAACAGAAATGTCAAGAACAGAAGGATTTCCAGACCAGAGGGCTATACATGTAAAACCTCTCCCCTAGGCAGACCTGGCCGATGGGCACACACCTGGGAAGGTGAATACAATGAAGAGCATTCTTTTAAGGCCACACAGGACATAGTGGAGCAGCGAGGCGGGGATGGTACCCACCCATCTGGCACGGGTGTTTGCCTTGGTAACCTGACTTAAAACCTACTTTCCCACAGCCCCAGCTGCGTTTCCCAAAGTGGGTTCCATGGCAGCACCTCTGCTTTCCTGACACCTCCCCCCCATCCTGGTTCTTTGACCTTGTAAGCTTGGGACTGCCATGCTGTTGCCTTGATTGAGATTCACAGAGCACATCGGCATATTTTTAAAAGGCCTACCGTCAGATCCTGCCCTTACTTTCACTGCAGGTCACTTACAGAGAATGTCCTGCAGAATTGGTTGTTGTCACCTGCCTGGGTAGATACCTCGTTCCTCCAGGTTCAGATGCCATAGGAGTGAGGCGAGAAGGATTTCCATAACAGGGGCTTCCCAGATGTCTTTACATTGGGGAAAGAAGTTACTTGTTTATTCCAGAGAAAAGGGAGATGAGCCACACCCGCAGGAGGTGTCCAGGGCTGGTTTTCTTGTTTGGAAGAGTTAAGTCTTACCTTTAGGGTGTTTTAGAGAATAGGACCTGGGCATTGGGGCTTGGAGGATAAACCATCTTACATGGCAAATTGGAATTGGGGAATGGAGTCAGAGTTATAGGGAGGGGGTGAGTTCTGGGCCGCAGACGATGCTGGCAATTCTCTGTTGGTCTTATTTCTGTTTCTTTATCCACCCCTCCACAAGCAAATGACTTTTCCTTTCTACAAATTATATGCCCCCTTCTCTCATTTTTTATCTCCCAGTGCTTCTCTTTAACTTCCCATAAAGAAGAATGAAATATGTGTGTGTGTTTCTATTTTATTTGAAGTTACTAAAGTTACTAGATAGAGCTTTCTGTTCCCTTTTCTTAAAAACAGCTGAATTTGGTATTTTATAAATGTTTCTTCTTGTATCCCCAACTGAATTATGGTCCTTCTGGTTATGAGTGATCCTGGACTATATTTTATTTCATTTTTATCCCTGGAAGGCTGGAGGCCTCTAAAGCACCCACCTCTGGCCGTGTTCAGCTTTGCCCTCACCCTCAGTAAGCCGGAGGCCCCAGCGGCATGGGGGTTGCCCATCGGGACCATCTCAGGCAAGCTGAAACAGTTCAGGTCCCCAGGGATGACTTTTCCAAAGGTACGGGGACCGTTGGAATAAAATGCAGTGAGACAGGGTGTCAGGGGAGAGGTGCTGTATGGGGAGAAATGGTTGAATGGAAAATTAGTTTTTCTTTCCCAGTAATTGTTTTGACATGAGCAGTAATTAGCCAACCGCTGACAAGCCAGAACTGAAGTGAGAACAAGGGGGTGGATTAGGGGCAAATGCCATTGCATTAGATGGTTCCCGGCTGCTATTAGCATGGGGGCCACCGGTCTGGGGGAGGCTACAGGCAGGAGAATGGCATGTTGAGGGTGCACTTTTGGGGGTGCTGTGGTGGGAGAAAGCGGGGATCAGAAAGACTCTGCCCTCAAGAAGATGGGGACCACCTTGGGTTACAAGGACCCAGTAGCGTTAAAGGTAGTGACTGCTTCTAAACTAAGGCCTGCTCAGGTAAGAGCTTTCATATTCATTTTCGTAGTCAACTGAACTGTGGTTCTATTTTTGTTCTTGTCCTTGGTGGATTTTAGGATCAGGGCAATGCTGTCTTTGTAGAATAAACTGAGAAAGTCACCAGGTATATCTATACTGTGCAGTGTGGGCCTATATATTTCTTTCATGAGTTTGAATGACTTTGCCTGTAAAACCATCTGGATCTGATGTCTTTTGACAGGGAGGTCCTTTTTCAAATGTTTTACTCATTTTGGTGTTTCTGGTATCCTTTGAAATAATTTTGATCATTTGAATCTTATGGAAAATTTTATATTTATTAGCATAGAACTGTAGTTCAAATCTCTTGCATTAAAAAAAAGGTCTCTGTTTGCCGTCTAATTCCCGATTCTAGGCATTTGTGTCTTCTTTCACTCTCAAATTAGGCTGATCTGCCGTTTTTATCTTTGTCATTCTCTACCCATCAACCCCTCAACCAACCAGAGTTGCTGATATTATCCTGTCTCCTAATTTACTAATTTATCATACCATATTTATATCCTTTTCTCATGTTTTCCTTGGATTAATTTTATTGGCTTTAAAATTTTTTTTCCAAATTCTTGAGTTGAATGTTTAGTCCATTTATTTTTATTCTCTTGGCCTTGGTAATGCAATAATTAAGGCTATGAATTTTCCTCCAAATATAATTCAGGCCCTTTCCCATTTGTTTTGATATGTTCTTTTTCATTATTTTCAAAATATTGTGTAATTATAGTTTGAAATTGCTCTTTGACCTGAGATTATTTTTTAAGAGGGCATTCTCTTAAATGTCCAAGCTTCTGGGGTCAAGGTAGGGGGAGAGATAGGGACCTTGTCTATTTGTTCTTTCATTATTTCTATCTACTTTTATTGCTTTCCAGTCAAAGAATATGTCTTGTGTTATTTATGCCTTTTGCAATTTATTGATACTTTATTTATGGCTTAAGTAGGCCCAACATTTTTAATGTACCATGGCTTCTCAGTAAAAAGAGATTATCTCTGTTTATAGGGTATGATGTTTAATCCATCTAGTTCAATCAGCCTTTTAAATTAAATCACTGAGACATTCCACATCCTGACTTTTGTCCATGAAATCAGTCTTAGACTGAAAGCAGTATTAAGGTTTCCTACTGTTGTCTTCAAATTCTCCAGCATTTGCTTTTTGTCCATTTCGGTGCTGTGCTCCTTGAGAAGTTAACGTTTCTTGAATGTTATGACTGCCTCACAAGTAGTATTTATCTATCCAGTCTAGTGTGCCGTTGCGGCTACGGCCTGTGCCAACCTGAGTAGATTCTCCTCTGAGGCCTCAGTGTTCAGTGATGCCCTTGGAATCCTACCCCCCGCCCCTGCCTTTTACCTAGAGGACTCTTGGGTAGAATCAGCAGCTTCTTGAGGGCCCTGAGTGTAGGCCAGGAGCATGGTTGGCCATGTGAAACTAACTTGTTTCTTCTTGTGTCCTAAGCCACTGCCCTGGGCCCCAGCTGTGTGGCCAGTGTTTCATTGTCCTGGTGCATCTGTGCCCACCCTTCTTCCAGAGTATCTGGCCAACTGTCAGATCAGGAGAGACCCAGTTACCCCAGGAATCTGCTGGGTGCACCTCTGCTCACAGGTGCCCTGAATTTTTCCCTGCAGTTGGTGGAGAATGGGGGACACACTCCTGGCATGAAAAGGGCTCTCCATGGCGTGGCCTTCACACCCCATTGCTTGCCCCTGGCCCTTGCCCTGAGAATGGGCAAAAGGTAACAACTTTAGTCCCTCCTCCTTTACCTCCTCCCTCTCTGTTGGGTGCTGGCAACAAGACCCACGAGTGGACATCATTGTGTCCATCTTTCTCCAGGCCGACCTGCAGTGTGTGTGTTGTAGCAAATCCTCCAAAGCCTGGGGCATCAGGAAGATGGTTTTCCTGGTGTCCAGAGATCATACAAGCTTGGGGCTCAAGGCCACTAGATTAAGGAACTTTGTGAAAAGAGAATTCATCCATTCTCTTCATGAAGTGCTTTATAATTTAACGGATCCCTGCTGCAGGTGTGGATTTTCATCCCAACAGAGTAGGTTTGGAGACTAGGTAGAAGTGGTCCCATTTTACAGATGCAGAAGCTGAGGCTTCACTAACTGTATCCATGAGAAGGCAAGGCTGCCTCTGGGAACTGAGGATGCATGGGCCTCAGTGTGTATGTGTGATGTCAGGACCAGGCAGCAGTGTTGGGGGCTTCAATAGGCCCCCCTGCGAGCCTTGAGGCCATAGAAATTGGCAAATACTACAGACCGGGACTCTCCATCCTCCTTTGAAGAGCAGGAGTATCAGCTCGTGTTGGGAGCATGAGTGAGTGTCATAGGGATAGACTTTTAGAGCCTTGAATATTTTTTGTCTTAATTTTAGCAAAACCAGGACTCATGAAGGCTGTCATATGATCCCCTAACTCTTAATCAGCAAAGCCAAATTTCCTAGAAACCCATGAGGCCAGTTCTCTTGTCTTTAAACTGACATTCCAGTGGGTGAGGGGGAGGAGGCCCTCAGGGAGGAAGTCCTTGGGTGGGGCGTTGTTGGGGGGGCAGTGATTTGCAGGAGGGCGGGGGTGTCCCCACCTGACTCTAGAGAGATTGGACCCTTGATCCGCACCAGTGACCACGGCTGATGAGGTTATTTTTGGCGATGATTGTTGGACTGTGATGCCTCTCTTCCTACTGAGCATCTTTCTTTTCTTTGGTTCAAAAAGGTCCCCCAGGAGATTGGTTAGTTGGGGGCTGGGGCTTGGGAGATGCTGTTAACCCATCTCCAGCCCCACAGATAGGAGTGAGATCCAGAGAGGTGGTCCTGGCTGTGCAAGACCCCTCAGAGGCAGACAGTGAGGTGGGAGAAGGGGCCCAGCTGCCCCTGTGGTCTGCAAGGTCGGAGGGGCCTGTCTGTGGCCAGCACAGCAGCATCTGAGTGGTGTTTCTGTCCCCACAGTGAATGGATACCACACGTCAGGGACCCCAGCGCACCCTCCCGAGACTGCCCACATGAGTGTCCGAAAATCCACCGGTGATTCCCAGGTAAGGGGCCCTGTTCCGGGAGGTAGGGGAAGCCCTTAGGTCGGTCCAGGGAGGCGTCGTTAGAATGGGGACACTGTCGGGGTCCCGGTAGCTACAGCCCAGTCCTGCCCCAGGTAGGAAGAGGTTGGTATCCAGGTCATTCCAATGTACCATGATTGCAAGAGAGCTGGTGTGATTATGGTTTGGTTTTCTCTAGAAGTTGAAGATAGTTTTGTTTTTTTTTTTTGGCCCAAGCCACACGGCTTGAGGGATCTTAGTACACCAACCAGGGATTGAACCCGAACCTCCTGCAGTGGATATGTGGAGTCTTAACCACTGGACTGCCTTGGAAGTCTCTGGAAGTTGAGGATGCTTTTGATGGGTTGATGGTGATGGGATTATAACCTCTCTATGTTGGGGCAGAAGGTTCCATCCTGCTGTCTGGATTCCTGATGAGTCCAGATTTCCCAACACTTTAAGAATACGGGTGAGTCCAGGCCATTTTCCTTCTCTGCTTGGTGCTTTCCCACCCCCAGACTTCACCCAGAGTGGTACTGAGTCAAACATTTTGTCACATCTGATCATCCAGAGAGGGGCAGCTGTGGGGTAGAAGGACATGGGAGTGTGTTTTAAGATTCCCAACCTGTGTTCCCATGTGTCATCTCAGCCGAAACTTGTGCGAACGTAGGAAAGAGGTGTCAGTACTATTCCCATGTTACAGATGCGGTCATAGAGTCCCAGACCAGATAAGTGACTCGAGCAGGTAGACACGATTACCAGGTGGTCAGACCAGACTCGATGCCAAGTTCTTCCAGTGGCCTTAAGCTCTGTCTAAGGAACCGGGGACAGGTCTTATGTGGTCCATCCGTGAATTATCCACAAGATGTCCTTAAGCAGGAGCCTCCAAACCAACCCTTTCAGGAGTTAAGATGCCAGGCCCCAAGGATGGTGGTGGCGGTGATGTGATAACAATAGTTGCTTGTTGTCAACAGCAGTGGGCTCTGTGTGCTGGTCCCTAAAGGAAAGACCTTGTGGTCACAGCAGCTCCCGTGTGACACTTAGCTGAAATGCAGGCGAGAAGGGCATGAGAGCATGTGTTAGGATCCAAAACATGGTGAACTATGCCTGGGCGGGGCGAAGCCAGAGGAAACTCCAGTGGAGGCCCGTAGCGGTCCTGGCGTGCAAATCAGTCGTCCGACCTGGGTATATGGGGCAAGAAACGTCAGAAACCTAATTATGTTCTTGTCATAGGAGGCTCAGCCTTGGGCTCAGGTGCATTCAGTTCAAACTCTGGAGGAGAATTGGGACATTGGGGTGAGGCAAGGCTCCATACATATTGATGAATGGACGAATCACCCCAGGCCTCCTGTTAGAATGCAGATTCTGATTCAGGAGGTCTGGGGAGGGGCCTGAGGTTCTCTGTTTCTAACGAGCCCCCAGGGGCTGCTGCTGCCTCAGGTAGGGAGACCGTGTCGTGACAGGTGAGCATCTGGGCACAGTTAGTCGTAGCAGCACTTGTGTGTCCCCTTCATCCTCTGCTCACAGCACACATCACAGCCCTGGCTCTGTGTGTTTCCTGCAGAGCCCCCCTCTCAACACAGCCTGTCGGTCTGTTCGAAATGAAGCTCATATGCCACCCAACTGCAGAGTGTTTTCTTAAGACATCAGCCCAAGTTCTGCCGTGGTTTCTCAGCAACTAGAGAGGCACCAAGGAAGGATGTTGGAAACAGTCCCCTCCGCCCCTCCCCCTGTCATTCTTCTTTCCTTCTCTAATGACACATGACTCCCCCATCCCGAAACACTCTCAAGTTGTTACTTAATCATTTAAAGCAACATGTATCCTGATCCGTATAACCTCCTGGGAAGCTGGTTGGACATTGTGTTGCTGTAAGACCTTGACCCAGGAATTTCCCTCCAGGCATCTGTTCTTGGAATACACGCAGGGATTCTGATCTGTGTAAAGCTGTTCATGCAAGCATACAGCCCTTGACCCAGCCTAACTGTCCAGTAACAGGGGATGGGTAAAATGGATAATGGACCAGAACATCTGTCTGGCCAACAGTACCATGCAGCCATGAAAACACATTCTTCTGGAGAAAATGTACTCATTTAAGAAAATGCAGAGACCATAATAGTGAATGCAAAAAGCAGAACAAAACTGCATATATGTATGTATGTTCAGTCGGTCAGTCGTGTCCAGCTCTTTGGAGAGCCCATGGACTGTAGCCCACCAGGCTCCTCTATCATTCGGGTTTCCCAGGCAAAAGTACTGGAGTGGGTTGCCATTTCCTCCTCCAGGGGATCTTCCTGACCCAGGGATCGAATCCGCGTCTCCCGCCTGTCTTCTACATTGCAAGCGGATTCTTTACCTGCTAAGCCATCCGGGAAGTCCCAAAGCTGCATTTATGGTCCATCTTGTTTGGAAGAAGGAAATCTACCCATACATGAAGACACATGACTGGATGAAAAAATAAACCCAAACATTGGTATTTCTGTCCAGTTCTCAATCAGGGGACATTTGCCAGTGTTTGGATATTTTGGTTGTCACAGCTGGGCAGGGGGTGTCACTGGCATCTGGTCAGTGGGACCAGAGCTATTACTAAGTAAGGTGCAGGGCAGCCCCACAACAAAGAATTACCCAGATTGAAAAGTTGAAGGGTGCTGAGGTTGAGAAACTTCAGTCGAAGGTGATGTTTATTTTCTTTAAAGTTTTTTTTTAATTTTCTAAAATAAACACATTTTACTTTTATAGATGGCAGATACAATGAGAACTAAGAAACAAAGAATTAGAGGTGAGGTGTTGGGGATGCAGGAAAGGTCAGCTCCGGAGACCCCGGCCTGAGCGATGCTTTAGGACAGGTGGAGTCCCATGTATTCCTTTTTTGGATGGTAACATTCAGAAGGTGAGGTATCATCAGAGTAACAAAAATAACTAGTGCAGCACGTGGAGAGAACAAAACACGTGTGTCCACCAGTTTGCAGCGCGGTAAGGTAGAACGTTAGCCTGTTAGGCTGTGAAAGTGCATGTTCCTGCAGAGCTGGCTGTCCACAGAGGCACCAGAGAACAGTCACAGAAATAGGTTAAGAAGGGTTGGTATTTACAGAGAGCACTACCGATAAGTGGTCCTCAGAATATGTATAAGCGCACTTCAGCAAGCTCAGTGTTTACTCCCCCATCCCAGGCTGTCAACTATAATTAGTGACAATTATCACCTAATAATATTACAGGTGGTAAAGAATCCACCTGCCGATGCAGGAGAGGCTAGAGATGTGGGTTCGATCTCTGAGTCAGAAAGATCCCCTGGAAGAGGGCATGGCAACCCACTCCAGTATTCTTGCCTGGAATATTCCATGGACAGAGAAGCCTGATGGTTTACAGTCAGTGGGGTCACAAAGAGTTAAACTCGACTGAGCGGCTTTGATAGATGGAGCACGCTGCAATACTGAAAGAGTGAATGAATGAATGAGTGAGTAAATGAAGGAATGAACTCATGGCCATTTGAGATGTTGGGTCAGGGTAGATACAGTACCTTGTCACACTTCTCTTGTGCTCGTTTACCACTGCCTGTTCGCTGCCCCTCCTTGAGAAAGTTAAGAAAATTAGAATGTTGGGCAGGTGGGGGGCATGTGTAATCTTCATGGGAACCAGAAATGTGTCTGTACCATCATGGGTGGAATTGAGTGGCTAGGTGCCCTGCAGCCCCCGAGGGTGCCCACCCTCTCCTCCCACCCCTAGCTCCAGGAGACTTGGAAGGCTGGGCATAGGTGGTGGCAATCTGGTGCCACCCAGTGGAAGTTTGCAAGTGTGCAGCCCTGGGGCGAGCTACGTGGGTGATGGATGCAAGGGACCCACTTGATGGGAGGTTAGGGGATCAGAGACTGAGAATAGTCATGCTGGCCTTGGCAGAAGCACATCCGAGCCTGTCCCCTGACTGCCTGCCTGCCAGGGCTACAGTAATTTTAGCCCCCTCTGATCCCCGTGCAGGAAGGCAAGGAACGTGCCCACCAGAGCCTAGACTCCTGTGCCTCACTTTCCAACTGTTTTAGCTTTCCATGAACTGTTCCCCAGGAAGGTTATCTTTAGATGCAGAAAAGAGGAAAGGGAGTGGGACCAAGAGCTTGAAAACTTAAGGGACCTGTTGGAGGAGACAGTGTCTGATGAAGGAAGAGGTGAGATTCTGAGAGCTCATTTACTCAATGGGGCTCCTCCTTCCCTGCTTGTTAAATAGCTCATGTTCTATTGAACATGTATTTCTTTGCCAGGCACTGAGTCATAGACAGATAAAGCCCTTGTTTTGTCAAGGTTAGGGCTTCCCTGGTGTCTCAGATGGTAAAGAATCTGCCTGCAATGCCGGAGACCCAGCTTCAATCCCTGGGTTAAGAAGATCCCCTGGAGAAGGGAATGGTTACACACTCCCGTATTCTTGCCTGGAAAATCCCACAGACGGAGGAACTGGGCGGGCTATAGTCCATGGGGGAATCACAAAGAGTCAAACATAACGAGTGACTAACACTTCCACTTGATAGAGGTTAGTAGCTGGGGCTGGAGAGAGACAAATGTTGATTTCATATTGGCAGTGATGGGGCTGGAGGGGAGTGTGTGCTCTAAAGACCTGACCAAGTGGTGGTGGAAATGTTTGGAGATGGGCTCTTGAATAAAAGCTGAGACTGGAAAAATCAGCAGAGGTTTAGCTTGGTTGAGAATGATGGTAGGGGAACAGCAATCCGGTGGGGGGAACAGCATATGTGGATGCTTAGAGGCAGTGATTTTGAGAAAGCCATCAGGGCCAAGCGGACTGTGGTTTACTGTGTTAGCAAGTGTGGGGACGGCAGAAGAGGAGGCCAGAGAAGTCCTCAAGGCTGTTTTGAGGAGCTTGGGTTTTGTCTCAATAGTGCTGGAGCCCCTGAGAGGTTTCACACTGGGTTCCACCAGCTGAGGGTGTGGGAGCCAAATTCTTCACATGCAAGGAGATCAGGCTCAGAAGACATCACAGAGCCACGGGCTCGTGGAGTCAGCTGGGAATGACCAGCCACGGTCTCACAGGCACTGCCTCATCTGTCACCCCCTTGATGGGTCCTTACAGTGCCAGCCAAGCAGCCCAGGTGAGGCCAGGAAACCAGGCTGGGGAGAGGTTTAAAAAAAAAGAGGAGAAAAACCTTCTAGAAGCATAGGAAAGAGAAATTTAAAAAAAAAAAAAACAAACTTTTGTTATGGACATTTGTAAGCATTTGTAAGAGCAGAATGAATATTATAAAGGAGCAACGGACCAATCATTTATCTTCAGCAGGAGACCTGGGTTCGATCCCTGGGTCGGAAAGATCCCCTGGAGGAGGAAATGGCAACCCACTCCAGTATTCTTGCCTGGAGAATCCCATGGACAGAGGAGCCTAGCGGGCTACAGTCCATGGGGTCACAAAGAGTCGGACGCAACTTGGCAACTAAACAGCAGCAGCAAATACATGCATATACACATACACATATATGTAAGATCTGTGGGGTGATAGTGTCAGGCCATGTGCACGCTCTGTCTCCTAACAGCCTTTTCTCTCAGCCTTTTCAAGCATCCATGATGACTGTGGCCTGAGTCTTTGACATTGAGGTTTGCCAGTGGTGATGTTTGAATTCCTTGCACACGTTTTATAGACCTTCTTCTGTTTAAAAAAAAAAAAAAAAATCTGCCCCTCCTCCGTCCATATTTTGGAGTAATCCACATTACTCCAAAATGGATGGTCCTCTTTACTTCAAATGAGGTTATTATTCATAGTAACGCTTCAGTGGTCCCAGATTTGGGGGTGGAAGCCCCTTTGAGCTGGTGTCTGTGTCCTTTTGTTATATCACACCATTCGTCAAACACTTTTTTTTACCTCCTGGCACAGGAGTTCCAGGTCCACCTGGCCTTTGGAACTAGTTGATTCTCCAAGGAGCCTGGGTTCCTTTTAGTGGGACATCGTATTCAATTATGCCACCCTGAACGCATCTGATCTCAGAAGCTAAGCAGGGTTGGGCCTGGTTAGTACTTGGATGAGAGAAACCGCTTCGTTATAGCAGGTATTCTCAGCGTGGCTGAGATGTCGTCCCACCCGGGCCCTTTCAGTGGAGGGCTGCAGGGTGTATGTGTCTGTGTGTTAGTATGTGTGTATATATGCTTGTATGTGATGTTTATGTATTATGACATTCAGATACCGGGCACAGGTCACCAGCAGCAAAGACAGAACACGAGACCACCCAGAGGACCCTGTGACCCCCGTGTGCAGCACTAGCCAAAACCGCATAGCTAGGAGGGCAGAGACCCGCACCCACGCTTAGAACATCCCCATCCCTGCCTCACAGTGCTGTTACTTGCCCTCGGAGTAAGGTCACCCGCCGGAGGAGGGTGACCTCTGTGTCCAGCATCATCCCAGACAGCCTTGGTCACAACGGTCCCCAAGTCAGTGTGTGTGGATGACAGAGATGTTTCTTTGGCCCCTGCAGAGACACCTGGAAAAATAAGAGATTGTCCCAGATCTCTAAGTGGAGGGATGGGGAGGCAGGAAAGAGTTGTTCGGGCTTGGGTGTCAGTTTGCTCTCTTTACCTGCCTTGTGTCCTTGGACACATTGATGTCTGCAAACCTCGGTGTCCTCATCTGTACAATGATGGTGATGCCAGTAACTTCCTGGGGTCAGGAGGACTCAGGGGGCAGGTCCTCAGCTAATCTGATGCCTCCAGAGCTTAAGGACCATTGGCAACAGGTAAAACTGAGGCTCAGAGCCAGGTAACTTGACGGGATGTCAAGGGCAGTGAGTTCATCTTCTCATCTATGAAACGACAATGTATAAAGATCCCTTTACTCTGAACAGTCCAGGGATGTCAGTTTTCAGTAGTGGACTTCACTTACTGGACATGGTAGATCTGGGTGGGAGTGAGGGGCTGAGGGTGGGTCTAGCGGGGAAGAGTCCGGGACTAAGGGGACCATGGGCAGGAACTCCCTTAAGCTCCTTGTTTTGCCTGATGAGCAGTTGGGTTCCTGAGGCGGGGCTGGCTTCCCCCCACCCCGACAAGACACTCATCTTGCTGGGTGATCCAGGGCTGTGCTGGATGTGGGGATGGGAGCTGTTGGTTCCCTGGGGCTTGCTAGAGAAGCCCTTCCATGCTTTTTCTGGGCCTTTCCCTGTAAAGGCCTAGCAGGTACTTTCTTCCGTCCCACTAGAGACAGAATAAGGCTGTGAATCCCGGGACACACATGATGCTGCCACAGTGCCTTAGGGGCCAGCCTGCTTCCCAGCTCGACGTGTGGCTCAGGACAGGAGTGCTTGCTCAGGGACCCTACTGAGTCCCTAATGTAACAGCTGATGGGACAGCAAAGATCCAGACTTGACCTTCCCCGTCAGGGCCATAGACCCTTAGGATCATTGTGGTATTTTCAGCTGGCAATCCTGAATTTTCCATCCCAGGGCCATCCAGGGACTAGAGGCAAGATACTGAGCTCCTGTGGGCCCAGTGGTCCTTGGGACGAGGGTCTTCTTGCCGGCAAAGGAAAGACCTAAAAAGGCAACCCCAAAGTCTGAAGGGAAGCTGAAACACAGCCTCCCTGCTCTTGGGGTAGGGAGGGTGACAAGTCCCGGAGGTGTGGCCGAACACCCCAGTCCACAGTGCATGGATCCGGGGTGTGATATGTTGGACAAGGTGGGGAATTCGGAATAAGATGTCTTGTTCTGAATCCCGTACCAGGAGATGGTGGCCCACAGTCCACCTTAACTCTCTACTCACGGGTAGATTCTGCAGGTGGAGACAGCACTCAGAACTGCTTACCAGCAGAGGGCAGCTGAAGGGTTAACGCTCCCAGGCACCGATGGGGAGATGAGGAGGCAGACCTGCTTTGGAGCAGTTTTCTCAGAGCTCCTGTTGGAGGTTTCCTCCCATTCGCTGTCAAGCCGGGGCATGGAAGGCTCCTGCCTGCCCCTTCCCAGAACATGGTGACTTAAGAGTTAACAGCAGCTGAAGGAGCATCCTCAAACTTCCTGGCACGGGGCTTTTAACCCACCCCTCCACCTTCAGGGAACCCGAAGGGAAAGGATGTCCAATATGGAGAACAGCTCTGATGATGTTTCTTGCCTCTCTCCCCAGAACCTGGGATCCTCGTCACCAAGCAAAAAGCAGAGCAAGGAAAACACCATCACAGTAAGTGGCTCCCGCGCGGCAGGTGGGGTGGCAGGCTGGGACTCTGGTCCATGGCTGGGCTGTTGCCATGGCAATGTGGACCTCTGAGTGGAAGCGATGCCCAGCCTAGAATCTGGGAAGTTCCGAAGCTTGGATGTAGCTGAAGTTTCCCACCCGCCCCTGCTGCCTTGCTCTAGCCCTTCTTCTGTTGATTTCTTATTTCACTTTTTCTCTCCGGGCAAACAAGTGGAAGGATGGTGCTCAGAATGATGCCAGAAACCATTTTTCGCAGGGCAGGCAAGGGAAGGTGGTGTGCGGGAGTGGGTGGGAGGGGGTGGACTGTGCTCTGAGTAAGTGACATGACGTGTAAATTACAGCCATGGCAGGGTGGCTTTTGTGCGGGGTAACTTCTGGAAGACATCAAAGTTAAAAGCAAGAGAAAGCGCCCTAAGAATAGAGTTCCTGATGGGGAAGCAGGCAGCCTCTGCCTAGAGCAGCCACACAGTCTCCCAGGGCTCTTCGGAAAGCCTGCCAAGACTCACCTTGCCCCGCGCCCCACCCCACCCCCCGTAGAGGCTGAAGAGGACCTCCCCCCACTTGCCTCCCCCCTGCCCCAACCCCACATCAGCCTTGTGCTTGGAGAAAGCTGGCACTGAATGTCAACGTCCCTCCACGTAGAGAAACAACTTTGTCCGTCTGCTCAGACAGCCCAGAACTTGGAGACGGGAGAAGTGTGGTCCTGGGTATGCGGTTTTGACCAAGTGTTGCAGAGCTGGGGCCGGGGGATGGGTCCCTCAGGCCCCATCACACAGTTCTTGCCCTGATGCCCACCCCCATGGAGATGGAAGTGAGAGGGAGACCCCTGCCCCGGCTCATGCAGGCTGCACATCCACTTTGGAAGAAGCAGTGGGCAAGCACTGACAGCAACAATCATAATTACTGCCACTGCGTGTGCATTCATTATGCACCAGTAGGATTCTGAGCACCCATTCTAGTCTCCAATCACTGAGGGATGGGGTGGGTGATTGGACTGAGGTGGGTGTGGGGACAGGGAACCTAGACTCTGAAGCCAGGGTATCAGTCACAGCACTTCTGAGCTGGGCAGCGACCTGGGGACCCTTTCCTGGCCTCTCTGTGTCTTGGTGTCCCTGTCTGCACAATGGGGAGATGGTGGGCATGTGCACGCTAGGGATGGTGTAAGGACTAAGTGAGTTCATACCTGGAAAGCCCTTAGAACAGCCTGGCATACAGTAGGTGCTCAGTTCACACTAGTCTCCTCATCGCCCTATTTACAGATGAGGAAACTGAGGCACAGAACGGGACCTCATCCAATGTCACACAGCTAGGAAGCATCAGGGCTTGAGACCTGTGGGCCCCCCCCTTTTTTTAAATTAATTTTTATTTGAGTAGAGTTGCTTTACAATGTCAAGTTAAGTTTCTACTGAACAGTGAAGTAAATCAGCTATATGTATATATATACATCCCCTCTTTTTTTGGATTTCCTTCCCATTTAGGACAGCACAGGGCATTGAATAGAGTTCCCTGAGCTCTACACAAGGCTCTTAGCAGTCATGTATTCTATTATAGTATCAGTATTGTATATATGTCAATCCGCACCTCCCAATTCCTCCACCCTTCCCCTTCCCCCTTGATATCCATACATTTGTTCTCTACGTCTTTGTCTCTATTTCTGCTTTATAGATAAGACCACCTATACCATTTTTTTTAGATTCCACATACATGCGTTAATATACAATGTAAACAAATACTGTATATTAAAGCATATATCTGAGACCCAAACTCTTATCAATGGCAGTGTCCCCCTGGAAGTTGCCCCCTGAGGTGGGGGACCAGGTGACTCAGTGTGGGGCCAGCAACAGCTTCCTTGTTACTGGAGCTGATGGGCAGGGCATGGGAGACCCCCACCCCACCCCACCTCCCGGGCAAACCTCCCGTGGGTGCATCTTTGCAAAAAGCCAGTAGGGTGCTAGGGCAAAGTAGGAGCTCCTAAAGTTTCCTGAAATCGGGAGAAGAAAGTGCAAGAGAGGGAATATGTTAGCATTGTAGAAGGAGAGTGAAGAGAGAAGTGAAAAGGGGGACGCAGAGGGTTATGCCTCCCTTGGGTGATGGTGCACCTCTCACGGGGTGGGGCCTGGGTCACCTGCCTTGGTCTGCCTTTCCATCAGAGCTTAGGGCCTTTCCATCAGAGCTTAGGGCTTTGTCTGAGTGGGCTGGGTGTGGCCCTGGGTCTCCTGGCAACTCACCTCCTCCATCCCTGCCTCACCACTTTCCCTCCTTCTTGCCACTGCCCTGCATCACTGCTTCTCATCCAGAGCCTCAGGGGTACTTGTTTAAAATGCGGGTTCCTAGGTTGGTCCCTCCAGGGTGAGGCTATAAAGTTCGGGTTGTAACCAGCATTCCCCAGGGGTTTAAAATAAACACTCAAGCCTTAGGGACTTTTTGCTGGGAAGACTGAGGAGGGGCAGAGAGTGAGTGAGGAGCAGAGCCCCCTGGCTGTGAACCTGGGTCTGCCGGCTGCCAGCCCAGGTGGCCCTGCTCATCTCCAGACTGGAGGTCGGTGTCCTCGCTGGCTGGCCGGCGGAGCTGAAGACCTCTGTACCTCGGCTCTCTCCCTTCTGGGGAGTACTCTCCACCCGCAGCTCCTTCCTCTGAGTCCTGATCCTGCAGAGCTCATGGTTTCCCTGGGAGGTGATGTTGCAGGGGTGGGGCTGAGGGGGGAGCATGGAGCTGGGGCCCAAGCTTTCCTCCTCCTGGCATGTGGGATTGGGGTGAGGACCTCTCGCACGGTCTGACTGAAGGAGCAGAGATTTGCAGGCCTGTGTGGCAATGATGGATACAACCAGGCATCTGATTCTGGCTACCAATGTGTCTGAGATGCAAGGACCCAGGTTCATTCTGATTCTCTGGCTTGCCCCTCCCTCCCCCCACAACACCCTGCCCCACTGGGCCTGGAAGAAGTTTTGAAGAGGCAGACACGTGTGCTGCTTGACAGCAGTGGAGCCCCAGGTAGGGCTGGCGGTGAGTGGGCTTGATTGGAAGTGACGGGCGGTGATGGCAGTTCACAGCCCTCGGCACCAATGCCATGCATCAAAATCTAGAGCATTCAAGAACAGATGACAGCCAAGCCAGCCAGCCACACTCCTGCCCTAGAAAGAGGAGTCTGGGCTCCTCTGGTCCTTGGCCTTGGGTTCTTGGTGTGGTCCCCTGGGGCCTGGGACCCTGGGTGGGAGCTTAGAGGCCAGACGTGTGTGCACTAGGGGGCATTACTATTCTGCTTTCGTAGGTCCAGCTCTGGCTTCTGCCTCTGCCATACCCTCCCTATTAACCTCTCCCCAGGAGGAGATTCTGTAGAGCAAGATCAAAGCAGTCAATCCTAAAGGAAATCAACCCTGAATATTCACTGGAAGGACTGATGAAGCTGAAGCTCCAATCCTTTGGCCACCTTATGGGAAGAGCCAACTCATTGGAAAAGACCTGAATGCTGGGAAAGATTGAGGGCAGGAGAAGAGGGCGACAGAGGATAAGATGGTTGGATGGCATCACCAACTCAATAGGCTTGAGTTTGAGCAAACTCTGGGAGATGGTGGAGGACAGGGAAGCCTGGCGTGTGTGCTGCAGTCCATGGGGTGTGAAGAATGGGACCTGACTGACTAAATAACAACAAAGGAGGAAGTTCAGGGCCCATTTAGATGTAAAACCACTGTCTTTACTGTGCCCTTCATGAGGCCCTTTGGCTGGGTTGCACTTGAATTCAAGAGCTCTTGCACCGTGGTTGGATGCCTTTGTGGGGGCTGTAGCCCCCTTAAGACGCCCCCCAGAGAGATTCTTGGGGCTGCCCTTGTGGTTCTGGTGGACCACCACCAGCTGCTCAGTGGGCCCATTGGGAGCAGAGCAGGTGTTAAGTTACTACGTTTACTGCGGGCTGGAGTCAGTCCCCGAGCGAAGATGCTGCTGATCGAGGGTGATGATCTTGGGAACAAGAGTGGGAGGGACCCCCGGAACTTTCCCCAGACAGTACAGGGTAGAAGGCATCTTCTTCTGCTCCCCCATCCAGCACCCCTTCCTACTTGCACCCCTGCCTTGGATGGGGACATGGCATAGTTACGTCTAAGCGTGTTAGAAGGTCGTGTGACACAGGTTAAGGGCAGGTTAACCTGGCTGGCTTCTGACCCTGGCTCCACCATTACAGATGAAGTTTGCAATTACTCATTATTTCCTTGTTTGCCTTCCTCATCAGCCTGTAAAACCGTTGAGGGCAGAGACCACCCCTTCTGTCTCTAGCCTCTATTCATTGTACTGACAAACACTGACAGCTCCTGTCCCGTGGCTGTGCTGGGACACAGCGGGGAGCAGGGCAGTTTCTCCTCTCCTGGTTCAGACTCTCTGGCAAAGGAAGAGAGATGCTACATAAGCAGTCAGGAGAAATACAAATGGATGTGTGCAAAGTGCTGGAAAGATCTAGCCTAGTGCGCAGCACCAGATAGCGGTTCAACAAAGGTTTGCATGAACCGCGGACGAGCAAGTGTTCCTGGTACAGCCTCATGGATGCAAATACTTCTGTGACCCTCAGTTAATCAAATGAGGCTAGTGTGACCCCGCTCGTGGGGTTCCTGGGAGGATGAAGTGAAGATCCACCAAAGCTCTTGGCAGGAATTCTCCCAGGAATTCCACTCGTTTTACTAGTTCCTCCCATGGTGGGGTCGGTGAGGTGCAGTTCTGGAGATGCCCACCAGTGGGGTGCAGGGCTCTGCAAGGATTCAGGAAAATTCCTGAGATTCCTGGGCCTGAAAAACGCCAAAATCAGGGTTGACTGAGTGGAGACAGGCACTCTGGGGCCACTGGCCAGTCCCTCTGAGGACTGGTGCCCTCAGAGTGACAGAAGCCACAAGCCCTCCCCCGAGCCCTCTCCCCCAGCCCCATTAGCTTTCCTTCAGTGATGGTTACAGGGCCACTTGTGGTACCTCCCTGCCTTCTAGGCCCTGGACAGCACTTTCTAGAAGACCTTTATATCCCCTCTTGAGTACCTTCAACTTCCTACTCCCTGATTCTAAATGCCCAGTGTAATGTCATAGTTTGTCATTATTACATTTGCAACTGCCATGGGCTACATAATGAAACAAAGATGGGCTGTAATCATCATTATTTGTTGAGGCAAGAAAAGCTGGAACGTGAAATAAGGACCATGTGAGGCTGTGGAATCCGGCCCTGCTTTCCAGAAGGAGACTCCCCTCTGGACATTCTCTGGGGTGTCAGCCTGAAAAGAGGATTTGGGAAGACCATTGCCTGAGCTGGGTATTGAGAGGCTGGCTGTCCCCCGAGACTGCAGGCCAGTGATGCCTTGGGTGGCTGTGGGATGGGCATTGTGGGGAAACTCCCCACCCCAGGGTTGCCTTGGGCACCCACCTGGGCCTTGGTGGAATTCTGTGCTCCCCATGTCCAGGGCTCTCTGGGTCACCCCTGGCCATGGTCCTGCCTCCTGCATCATGTTTCCTTCCAGAACAGGACTCTCTGCCCTTACCAGATACCAGATGCTAGTATCTGGGAAGAGGCGGCTCCTTCCTTGGCTGGAATTTCTTCTGTATTCTCCCCTCCCCCCCAGACTGAAGGAGGAATATTTACTGGATTTACTTCCAGCCACCCCCGAGCCCCTGAACCAGAGGCTGCGGCTGGGGACCCATGGACCTGACTCGACTGGCAGAGGAGTTGCTTTGACTTGCAAGGGGTTGTTGTTGCTGTTATTAACCATGAGTGAATTGCCAACACTGGAGAAGGGACTGGCAACCCACTCCATATTCTTGCCTGGAGAATTCCATGGACAGAGCAGCTGGGCAGGCTGCAGTCCATGGGGTCACAAAAAGTCGGACATGACTGAGCAACTAACACTTTCCCTTTCAAGCACTGAGATAATTCACGTATAAATCCTCATTCTCCACTACTGTCAAGTCATCACATAAGTTGACAGCCCCGGACTCTTCATTCTAACCTGACAGCAGTTGGCGGGAACTAAGAGGAATCTGCTCCCCGCCCCGACAGACAGACCCTCCCCACCCTACCCCATTCTGAATGTGGAGGCTGGTCACCCCCACAACCTGAGCTGCAGTTCCCATGATATGCAGCCCCACACTTGTTTGCATGGCTTTCTGGCAGTGGAGTTTGTGGCTTCTATTCAGAACCTCGGGGATTTTCTGCACTGTTCTCCCCCTGAACGCCTGACGACTCCCACTTCATCAGTTGCTGGGATTGTGATGAGGGTTAAAGACTGCCAGCGCTTAGGCCTTGCCTTCCTGAGGCCTTGCAGCTCCCAGAACAAATTAGCAGACTCTCCAGAAGCAGACACAGGGCTTGAAGCAGCATCAACAGGGTCAGCGGCGAAGGCACACCTGCCAAGCAGGGAAAGCCAGGAGTGCTGCAGACAGGCTTGGGCAGAAAAGTCTGAGACAGAGCCCAGAAATCTCCGCACTGCTCTCTCCTGGGCCAGCTAGCCCCAGGCACACACCCGGGATCCTCATTTCCACTCTCTTTGTTCACAGAATGTATGTTGTTGATCAGTTGCTAAGTCGTGTCTAACTCTTAGTGACTCCATGGACTGTAGCACACCAGGCTCCCCTCTCCTCCACTGTCTCCCAGAGTTTGCTCAGATTCATGTCCATTGAATCAGTGATGCCATCCAACTATCTCATCCTCTGTTGCCCCCTTCTCCTCCTGCCCTCAGTCTTTCTCAGCACCAGGGTCTTTTTCAGTGAATTGACTTTTTGCATCAGGTGGCCAAAGGATTCAGTATCAGTCCTTCCAATGAATATTCAGGGTTGATTTCCTTTAGGATTGACTGGTTTGATTTCCTTGCTGTCCCAGGGGCTCTCAAGAGCCTTCTCCAGCCCTGTAATTCGAAAGCATCAATTCTCCATCGCTCAGCCTTCTTTATGATTCAGCCCTCATATCTGTACATGACTACTAGAAAAACCATAGCTTTGACTATACTCATCTTTGTTAGCAAATTGTTATCTCTGCTTTTGAATATGCTATCTAGATTTGTCATAGCTTTTCTTCCAAGAAGCAATTGTCTTTTAATTTGATATATTTATAGAATATATATCTTGAGATAAAATTCACAAGGTAACCTCTCACCCAGGATGCTCAGCCACTTAATTCCTTTCCCTAGAAGCAAATGATGTTATCAATTTCCTCCCAGAAATATGCCAAATTGATATCTATTCCTACCTCCTTTTTTTTTTCCTTAACACTAAGACAACAAACCGTAAAATACTATTCCACCTCTTCTCCCCAGCCACCCACCCATGTAACACTGTCCTCTACCTTCCTTATCAGTACAGAAGAACGTCTTGCTGGGCCTTTCACCATGGATATGATTCCTGTCTGTGTCTGTCTCATACTTTCTAATGATTCTCTTGCCAATGGATAGTAGAGTTGGGTTCTAGCCTTTTGCTATGTAGACAGAGCTGTGGTGAAAACCGTGTACTTAAGTCCCTGTAACCATGTGCCGGGAGTAGGGGAGAATCCTACAAGTAGAGTCACTAGTATGAATATCTGAATATCTGCTGTGTTGTTAAGTCCCGTTGCACTGCTCTCTAAGACAGTTTGGACTGATTCCAGCCCCTGTGGGGTGGGGGTGAATGCCAGTCACCCCTCATTTGAATGCTGACCACCGTGTAATACCAGTGCATGTTCTCTACCAAACTGGCCCTGTAGGGAGACTTCTTGAGTACTGTATCCTGGGACCAAAGCCTCCCCAGCTTGTCCCAAGCCTCTAGCCAAGCCGTGTTCTCTCGTGTTCTGTGCCTTCCAGATAAACTGCGTGACGTTCCCTCACCCAGACACAATGCCGGAGCAGCAACTGCTGAAACCAACCGAGTGGAGCTACTGTGACTACTTCTGGGTAAGTGGTGCTCCGTGTTCCCTGTACTGTGGTCCCAGGGACTGAGGGTGAGTACCCGAGAGGGGCGGGAGGAGCCTGGAGCTCAAAGCAAACCAGCTGCTCCAGATGAAGCCTAACAGCTGGCAGTCAGTTGAACACTGGAGGCCGGAAACTTAAGACCCACTTGGAGTCTAGATTATTCTGTCTAGAGAGTCCACAGGACAAAAATGGAAACTCCAGCCAGTATACAGGTAAGCTGGAGGGTCACCTTGCGCTCAGTGGTGACAGGAGATGAAAATCAACTCCATGAAAGAAACCTGGGCTCCAGCCTAATCTGTCACTCTTGAAGGTGATCTTGGACAGTGCTTCTCCAACAGCCTTCCTGTCTCTATCAACGTCACCAGGAGTTTGGGCATGATATGTAGGGAGCTCCAGCATGAGCAACTCTGTGGTTCTAGAGCTTTTGTGTTACTTATGGGAACCTCCAGTTTTGCAAGATGAGCAAGTTCTGAAAGGGGATAATGGTGGTGGTTGCCCAACAGTGCAAGTATATTCAATGCCACTGAACTGTGCACTTAAAAATGGTTAAGATGATACATTTTATGTGTAGTTTTCCAGAATTAAACATCTTTTAACATATACCAAGTCCTGCTCAGAAACTCTGGGAGTCTCCTGGACATTTGTATTTTAAAGTTAACAAGGGCTTTAAAAATGAAATCACCCCATTCTGGAATCAGACAGTGGTGATGATTGTATGACCTGTGTATGTATTAAAAACCAGTACCAGATCATACAGAGGGGTTTCCTTGGTGGCTCAGCAGTAAAATATCTGCCTGCAATGCAGGAGCCACAGGTTCAGTCCCTGAGTCTGGAGGATCCCCTGGAGAAGGAAATGGCAACCCACTCCAGTGTTTTTGCCTGGGAAATCCCATGGACAGAGGAACCTAGCAGTCCACAGACCATGGGGTCACAAAGAGTCGGACATGACTGAGTGACTTAATCACCATGACCAGTGGTACACCTAAAAAAATAAAGTTTTGCAAAGGCTCTAAGGAATCAGAAATTAAAAAAAAAAAAAACTTTATGAAATTTCAACCACCATGGAGAATGAATTATCTACCCTTTTTTAGATTTGCTAACCAAGTTAATATTAAACAAAATTGCCTTTGTCTTCCTACCAAACCTCTTGCACTTTGGAAGCTAGCCAGGGATTCCTGTTGCCCCATCTGTGTTTCTTCTAGATCTTCTGAGATGAGTACGGGGTGGGGATGTTGTAGGAAGAACTCTGGCTCTGGCAACAGACACACCTGGAGATGGTGAAGAAAGAGCCCAGGGGCATGGATGAGCAGGGACCAGACTGTACGATACCTCATAGGCTCCATCAGTGTGTTGTACTTTATTATGTTTGCGGTATGAACAGATGGTGGAGGGTTCAAACAGGGTGGTGGAGGATTGAAACAGGAACAGGATGTGATCTGATTTGTATGTGTCTTAGAACATACGTGCATGTTATGTCGTTTCAGTCATGTCCAACTCTGTGCAACCCTATGGCTCCTCAGTTCATGGGATTCTCCAGGCAAGAATAATGGAGTGGGTTGCCCCGCCCTCCTGCAGGGGACCTCCCAGATCCAGGGATTGAACCTGCATCTCTTACATCTCCTGCATTGGCAGGCGGATTTTCTTTACCACTGACACATGGGAAGCCCCATGTGTTATGTAGGGAAGGCAGGAGTGCCCATTAACCTCTGAGAGGTCAGGAAAGGTGGTGGCAGCTGCAGAGATGGAGGGGAGGAGCTGAATTTGGAGATGTCATCCAAAAAGAAGAGAGCAGGAAACAGCATGGGGAGTGGACCAGCTTAGACCCCAGGAATGGGTACCCTGGGAGCCAGAGGTCAGTGGAGGGAGGGGGGGTTGGGGAGTGAGGAGGAGTGGGAGAGCCTGCTGCTGGTCAGCACCATCCTGCTTCCATCTCGATTCAGGCTCTCCTGGGACTCTGATACCTACCCCAGAGCTTTATCTCCCTGCCCATCAGACCTTTTCCTCTCACAGAAATTTCTCTGCTGACACAATCCTTAAAGCCCACTTCTTTGGGCCGGTTTTCCCAGTGTGGACAAATCGCTCGGCCTGTCCATCCTCTCTGGGAGGTGGATTGGGGCTCATCGTTTTGAATAATTTTTCTGTGACTTTTTCATGAAGATGTAGCATTCATACAATGGAATACGCACACCTTAAATGTCCTTGGAGTGAGTTTTCAATGGCCAGAGCAGCTGCACTGTGATGTGGTTGAGATGTCAACCCTGGAAACCTGCCCTTTTCCACTCCAGCAGCGGCCCTTCCCTCCAGCTTCTCCCCAGAAGTCATTGCAGTCTTTTAGGCATGTGCAGTGCGAAAGAGGATGGCAAGGCTTGGGGTTGGGGGTACCTGCCCCTGAGGTTATCCACTGTCTCCCAGCTCAATCAAGAAGCTAAAACTCTGCAGAGGATCTAGCCAGCCCCAGCAGCCACCTGGTGCCTGGGTTCCTGGCCACCTGCCCTTCCTTCTCTTCATAAGGGGTTGAGAGGCACGGACGTGGGGCAGCAACAGTGGTCAGGGCTCAAGCATCCAGGAGCACTTGGGGGTGAGGGTGCCGGGAGGGGCGTGAGTTGGGGCGGCCGAGACTACCAGCCTCGTCCTCCTCCTCAGGCTGAGGTCAGGGTTATTAGCAGAGGCCTTGGGGTCTCTTGAGAGTCCCTTGGACAGCAAGGAGATCAAACCAGTCAATAAAAGGAAATCAACCCTGAGTATTCATTGGAAGGACTAATGCTGAAGCTGAAGCTCCAATACTTTGGCCACCTGATTTGAGGAGCTGACTCATGGGGAAAAACCCTGATGCTGGGAAAGATTAAGGACAGGTGGAGAGGAGTGTGGCAGAAGCTGAGATGGTTGGATGGCATCACTGACTCAGTGGACATGAGTTTGAGCCAACTCCAGGAGATGGTGATGGATGGGAAGGCTGGCATGCTGCAGTCCATGGGGTCACAAAGAGTTGGACACGACTGAGCAACTCAACAACAGAGTCTTTTTTGGGGCCTGTCTTCCCTATACTCCATTCCTCCCAGCTCCAGACGCTGGTGTCACCTAAGCGCTCCTGCCTCTCTCTCCTTCCTAGGCCGACAAGAAGGACTCCCAAGGCAATGGCACGGTGGCTGGGTTTGAACTGCTGCTGCAGAAACAGCTGAAGGGCAAGCAGATGCAGAAGGAAATGTCGGAGTTCATCCGAGAAAGGTGAGTCCTGAGCCCTCCCCGCTCCGGGGCTGGTGATGGCACCCAACGTGGTCCCTGAGCCGGGGGTGAGCCCCACACACCCAGGAGTCAGACTCACGGGCCTTGGGACAAGTCTGGCCAGCAGGTGTGTTGCTTTGGCCTATGTAGTGTTTTCAAAGATTTGAACCAACATTAAAAAAGATTGGTGGATTTCACATTAAAATCTGCATATCTGGCATCTCTGAGGAGAGCAAAAAGTCTGACCCCATGGCTGTGCATCCCTCATGCAACAGTTGGCTGGAGGTGGGGAGCAGCTCCCCCTGTACTGGGAGCCTGTGCTTCCAGTTCGCCACAGTCCCCACCACTCCTTAATATATCTCCATGAAGACTGCTCAGCTCCTTTGCTTGTCTGTGCATGCACAGCTGCTGTTCTTTAATGTAACAAAAAAGGATATTACCTTTCTGTTCATCTTTGAGTCAAAACCGTGTCCCAGCCCTGGGCATCCAGAAACACCCACCCCTGCCCCTATCTCTGCCTTTAGGGAATTCAGTCTAATGGGAGAGGTAAGGTCATTATGATAAGAGCAGAGAGTATAATAGTGGTTTGCCTGTGTGTAGATGAGGAAACAATGCATGCCTGCTCAGTCATGTCTGACTCTTTTGCAACCCCCGGACTGTGGCCCGCCAGGCTCCTCTGTCCATGGAATTCTCCAGGCAAGAATACTGGACTGGGTTGGCATTTCCTCCTCCAGGAGATCTTCCCCACCCAGGGATCAAACCTGCGTCTCCTGCATTGGCAGGCGGATTCTTTACTGCTTGAGCCATCAGCAAAGCCAAGGAGATGAATTCAGCCTAATGGAAGTGGGGAAAGTTACAAGTGAAAAGCTCCTTTTCCATCTCCCTCCATCCCCAGACTCTCCAAGTTATGAGACTCTGTTAAGCCAGCATTCACCTGCACACTCAACACACATATGCATACCCACCTTCCTCACACACCTACATACGCACAACTTCATATCTGGAATTTCAAAGGCACACTGGAAATATTTACGGTAAATGGCAATGTATTTTTGAAATTTTTTTTTTTTTTGGCCATGCTGAGAGGCATATGGGATGTTGGTTCCCCCACCAGGGTTCGAACCCACACCCCCTGTATTGGAAGTACAGTCTCAGTCACTAGACAGCCAGGGAAGTTCCTCATTGTTTCCTTTTTTATTTATAGCAACAGTAATCCAGTAACAATTCTATGGTATGCTAAAGCACCTGCTTTCCTTTAGGAGGCCTATTTTCTATAGGTATAATCAAATCTTTGCTTTATGACCTATGAAACAGGTAGGAAATTGAGGGATTGCATAGTTCAGGTGTCAGAAAACAATAGTAGAAAGTAGACCAAGAGGAAAATGGCTAGAAAAGCCAAGTTTGAACACACTTGCAGTTTATGCTTTCATAAAGATGTCACATTAACAGATGGAACCATACCTGCGAGAACCCTGGTCTTCCCTGGGACAGGTGGACTCCTGAGACTTTCCTCAGTCCACCTAGGGTTTCGTAGGGGCACCTTTCAGAGCCAGGAGGGGTGGGACCTGAGGTGCAGAGACGAGAGCTAGGCCAGGGTGGGAGGCCAGCTGTCCAGTGAACCACGTGACCTCAGCTAAGGGGAGCGAGGCCGGCACCAGCCCTGGAGAGGAGAGGTCTCGTGCTGGTGCATGCAGTTGGCATTGCTGAACCTTTGAAGCTAAGAGTGTGGCATGGTTTTGACATGGTTAGATCTGCTTTCTCGAGAGATCTTCTAGCTGGAGGCTGCAGGCTAACTGTGCATGTCCTCCTGGGGAGAGGAGGGACTAAAGACTCGGTGGATGGAGAGGAAGCGAGGGAGGCAGGCTCGAGAGGATGTGGAGATGGCAGAGGTGGTGGTGAGAGAAGGACTGAGACTGGGCCTCTCAACATTGACGTGGGAAGTGATCATGACCCCCAAATGCTGCCCAGAGACTCGATCAGGTCGTTCTCTTTACATCCTTTCACGCTTCAGCTCCTGAGAAGCCAAGAAGCAAATGCTGCAGCCCTGGGAGCATCTCTGGATTTGTTTCATTTGCCAGATGACGGACTAGGGGCCTCTCTGAGGCCCCAGCCGTCTGGCCAGCTCTGGTCGTCACAAGCATGTCTCCTCAGAGGACCGCTTAGACAGCGACTAATACCATGACAACACGTTTTACACAGTTGTGGCAGATAATACAGACCCCTTCCCAGAGAGCTGCCTTGAAAGTGTGTCAAGGGCCTGCTGGAAGTGAAATCCAAGGCAACTTCCCTCTCCAGGGATGTGGCCTGCGCTGTGCACCACTGGTTTCCATGGAGATGCTTGCACCCTGCAGGCTGGGAAGTTGGCAGCCTCAAGGGCTGGGAGAATGTGGACAGGGTTCTATTCCTGTTTCTTAGACACTGTGGCTGCCTTGCAGACTCTCATGCCAGAGCACTCACCAGGGGCAGGGCAGCCGTGGTCCATGACCAGTTACGTCTCTTCAGTTAAGTGTTTGCCGTGTGTCCAGCCCTGTGCTGGGAGCTATGCATATGACCACTTTTCATCCTCACACAGGCAGCAATGCCCCACTCTACAGATGGAGGTTCAATTTCTTCTTTCATTCAGCTCATATTAAGCACCTACTGTGAGTTGAGTGGAAAGACAAGAGCCACATACTTTCAGAGCTTATGGTCTTTACACTGTTAATAAGCTGCAGGTCGGATCCACGGTCTAGCTCTGAGGAGCTGATGTGTTGGGTTTTCTCCCTTTGCAGGATAAAGATTGAAGAGGAATATGCAAAGAACTTAGCTAAGCTCTCTCAGAACTCCTTGGCTGCACAGGAGGAGGGGTGAGTAGGAGGAACAGTGATGGGGGTAGGGAGGGAGAGGGGCACTCAGGAAAGCGGGGAGAATCCCTTTTCACTGATCACTGGTCATTGCCATGGTCCCATATGGATGGGGAGGTCTCCATACACCTGGCTGAAGGTGGGTGCCTGTGATTCAAAGTGGGCATTCATGGTTCATGGTGAACATTCTTGGTTCAGGTGGGCATTCACAGCTCCAGCTGGTCAGCCATGACTCCAGGTGTGGGCATCCATGCTCAAGGTTTCACGTCCACATTACTGACTAGTTATTGGCCAAGGGCCTCCTGCCAGATGCTGGAGTATTCCAGGACCCCCTGTGCCCTTTCCCCAGTAGCTGGGAACCAGCCTCCAGACTCCTTCCCCTGCTCCCCTGTCTCTGAGAGCAGGCTGGCAGGAAACTAGATGTGGGGGGATTCCACACCTGGCTCCTTGGTTGGAATTCTCTCCTGTGAGTCTGGGTCCAGGCTTCCCTCACCCTACAGCTGTGACCATCCAGACCTCCTTGGGTGGGACCTGGGCTGGGGGAGGCCCAGCCCTACCCTCCTGGCCACAGAAGGGTCCCTAGTTGGGGGAAGACTGCTGCCTTCTCCACTCCGTATGTTAACAGTTTCAGCCTGCTGGTGGTAATGCAGAATGGCACAGCTGCTATGGAAAACAGTTTGGCAATGCCTCAGAAAACTAGTTAGAACTCCCATAGGACCCAAAGAATTCCATTCCTAGGTTTATATCCAGAAGAACTGAAAGCAGATATTCAAATATATGTACATGAATGTTCATAGCAGCATGATTCATTATAGCCACCAAGTAGAAATAACTGTCCATCAAGGATGAATGCATAAGCAAATTTTAGTCTGTCCACATCGGCTATATGGATATACAAAGGAATGTTATTCAGCCATAAAAAGGAATAAAGTACTGATCCTCGTTACCACGTGGATGAACCTCAGAAACATTATACTAAGTGAAAGAAGCAAGAGGCAAAGGTTGTATGTTGTAGGATTCCATTTAGAAATGTCCAGAATAGACAGATCCATGGTGGTTATCAGGGGTTGGGGGAAAAGGAACTGGGAACAACTGTTTAAATAGGTACAAGGTTTCCTTCTGGGGTGTGTGTTCATCTACTCAAGTTACTATAATAGAATACCATGGGCTGAGTGACTTAAGCCATATGACTTAAGCCTTAAAAATGTAATTAATCCCAGTTCTGGAGGCTGGGAAGTCTAAGGTCAAGGGGCCGGCAGGCTTAGTGTCCCGTAAGAGCTCTCTCCTGTGTTGCAGGTGTCTTTCCCTTGGTGAGGAGAGAGAAGAAACTCTCCAGTATCTCTTCCTATGAGGACACACATTCTATCAGATCAGGGTCCCACCCTTATGACCTCATTTAACCCTAATTGCTTCCTTAGAGTAACAGATAAATGTCCAAATAACAGTCACACTGTGGGCTAGAGTTTCAACCTATGGATTTGGGGAACACAAGCTTTCAGTCCATCACAGGGTGATATTGATAAAAAATTCTTTGGAACTAGATAGAGGTAGTAGTTGCCCAGGATGGCGAATGTAGTAAATGCTTGTTCTCTTTGAAGTGGTTAATTTTTTGAAAAATATTTCTTTAGCTGTGCTGGATCTTAGTTGGGGCATGTGGGATCTAGTTCCCTGATCAGGGGTCAAACCCAGTGCTCCCCTGCATTGGGAGCACTGAGTCGTAGCCATCAGGCCACCAGGGAAGTCCCCTGGTTACATTTGTTAAGTGAATTTCCCCTCAATCATAAAGCCAGAATCTCAGGAGGTAAGAGATGAAAGGCCCCCCGAGGTCCTCTCTCTGGTCTGACCTCCCTGCAGTGCAGTCTCTCTTTGAATCCCTCCTGTGAAGGGAAGTGAGCCCCTGGGGATGGAAGATACTCTGTCATAGTCACTGGAGAGCCGTGGTGTTGAACAAGCCTGAATCTGCCTGCACGGCTTGAATCCTCCAGGGAACAGGGCTTTGATTAGGGCCTCTTCATGGGCTCACCATGCAGCCAAGAGGTTGAAATGGTTTTCACTGACCCAGCAGGCCGCAAGCCACAAGACCGCCCTGCATGGCCAGTGTCCCTTCCAGGGACATCAGTGAAGCTGGCTCCAGCCTCCTCCTGCTCCATGTACCCAGCCTGAGACCAGGGCAAGAGGGGACCCGTGAGGGAGTCTCCCCTCTGAACGGAGGATGGAGCTTTCTTAAGTGTTCCCAATGCCCTGCAGTGCAGCAGTGCTGCCCCAAAGAAATTCCACCTCCTCAGCCTGGGCCGCTGCCAGAGACACTCCGTCCTGCCCACACGCATGGCATATGCTCTGGGCTGCACAAGTCCAGAGTCAGGCCTCACAGCAGGCTGTACACGTGTGCAGCCGCAAACACAGGCAATCCACCACACACTCACAGTCGTGGATCGGTATTGCTCACCTGCAACACAGCCATGAACACATACCCCATCAGCCCTGTACCCACATCCCACACCCACACCCACGCTTCTTCAGGAGGCACATGGGCCACCATTCACAACCTGCAGCCCCACCGCTTTGCATTCACACATGGCTTTGGGCGTCAGCCCATCTACCTGAAACTTTCAGAGCATGACACTGGAGCCTAGAGACGTGGGGTAGCCTAGGAAGATGCTGATGGGGAGACTTGAGTTGCCCTCAGATTCCACAGGGTGTGTGCAGAATAAACAGAATCAGGAGATGTATCCTGACTTCAGTTTTGCTCTCCTGTGTGGAAAGGATTTTGGTCTTTCTTGGTTGGTAATTGTGACAGTAACATGGATTTTGATTTAGCAGGCCCCAGATGGTGTTCTGGAACAGAAATTATGTCTTGGGGTTTTTGTTTGTTTGTTTTATTCCCATCAACCTCTTATCACTGTCTTCAGTGAGAGAATTTCTAAATGGCTTTTATCCTAAGTTGTGATGTGGCTCCAAGGCTGGCTAGGATATTGCAAGGGGGCTGGACCAGCTCAGATAGGCCCGTCCGCGTGTTTGGAGTGATGTCCTCCTGCCTGCGGGGGCCCAACCTGGCAGTGGGGCCAAGGACTTGGTCCTAAGTGTAAAACTGTGCTTCCGCCTTTCCTCCCAGTAGTCCAGATGGCAGCCTCAGGCCACTGTCACTATCCCTGGGCCAGTTATTGACCGTGTGCTTTGCTGACAGCTGACTTACAGACACTCAGCACCAGCAGGGCTTCTGGGCTCTTGTTCAAATCTCCCGCAGGCTGGCAAGTAGCTTAGCTGCAGGGAGAAATGCCCCCTTTGACCCCACTGTCATGGAGCTCCTGCTTCTCCCCAGGACTGCTTCTATGAGCAGTTGACTTTTATCCTAGTTGTGCAATCCATCTGGAGGTTACCTGTGTGCGTGGCATGGGGTCAGGGGCAGGATTTCTTTTTCCCTATGGATGTAGAGTTGCCTCTGCACCAGGTGTTGAAAGGCTGTCCATTTCTCCATGAAGATGCTTGGCATCTTTATTGCACAAACATCACCCGTATTTGGATAAATATTTTTCTGGACCTGGTATTCTGATCCCAGATCTGTATGACTCTCATGACTTCTTCCACTCCCTCCTTATCCCCACCCCAGGCCCTCTACCCATCTGCCCAGTCAGGTGAGGGGACACGCCACCCAGCATGGCCCCAACCCAGCTCCCAGGAGCCCAGGCCCTTCAGGCCAAGACAGACGTCAGCAGCTTGCATCATCCCAATTCCCCATCCCTTCTCGGGTGGGCCCCCCAGCCAGGATCACCCAAAGGGACCTTTGTTTGCTGTCTGACTCCTAGATAAAATCGGTCAGGCACTTCCCGTAAACACCCACCCTGGCCTAAGCCAGCACCACCACCAGACAGGCCTGGACTCTGATCAGAGGGGTCCATTCTGTTCTGTTGGGTAATTTTCAGCTGCTGGCTGCTCGGCTCAGAACCCAGAAGCCTCACAGCAGGGTGTCTTTTAATCAGGTTTTGCCACTCAAGTTTAATGAATTCTCTGGGGGAAATGGTTTTTTGATGAAAGGAAGTCAACTGACCATTCAGTCCTGGTATACTGGCTGGGTGAAGAGGTCTCGAGCAAGAATGCAAGGGTATCAGTGGGAAGATCAGAGAGGTTCAAGAGTTCTCAATCAGGGAGATTGGAGCGTGGGGGCATGCGTTCAAAAGTCCAGGGGACTTTAGGAGATTGCTTGTACTTGGAACATCTCTTTCAAGTGGAAGTGATTTAGCTTGGAGGACTCTGCCTTTCTCTGGTTGGCTGTGGGCAGTGCTGGGGCTCACCGTCCAGAATCGGTTCTAGAGCGTGGGTGGGGAGGCCACGTTCCTGAAGATGGGGATGGCAAGCCTTCTCAGCTGTGTGGGCGGCCCTAAGAGGTCCCTAGACCCAGGTGGTACATCTTTGCCGCCCCCGCCCAGAAGTCAGGCCGCTGTAAGTTTGCCTGCAAGCAGGGCTGTGTGATAACCTTCTGTTAGAGAAGGGCTTCTCCCTGGAAAGGCATCCATTCTCCGTGCTTGTTTGCCAGCAGGTGTTTGCACCCCTCGAGAATAAACCAGGGAGGGTGATGGGAAGGTAGGGGACAGTCATGGGACAGGTATCAGGGCCCTCATGACACTTACCCCCCACCACCCCCATCTCCCTCATCCTCTGGGCTTCTGGACATTTCCCAGGCACTCAACTGGCTGCTTCAGTCAGTTCTCTCAGCTCCAAGATGCTCAGCTCGTTTGGGGATGGCTTTTCTGATCCCATACACGGGTCAAGGCGTGGTACTCATGCTTGTCTTGTGCCCGACCTCCTCCTCATCCAAGTCCATGGTCTCAGGCGTCGTACGTTCCCCAGGGACTCGGAGTCAAGACCCACCATCTCGCCTCATGGGGGGAGGGCTGTGGCCTCTGACCTGAGGTCAGTGCATCCGTCCGCAAGCCTCACCATCTCCTTGGTGTTGCAGCTCCCTGGGGGAAGCCTGGGCGCAGGTGAAGAAGAGCCTTGCGGATGAGGCTGAAGTTCACCTCAAGTTCTCTGCCAAGGTAACCCCTCCCTGGGTTGGTCTTACACACCCATGTGCAGCTGCCTCTGTTTGTTGTTGTTGTGTTGCCTGGTTTCCATGGTATAAATTTCAAGAGTCCGGAAGAGATGCTAGCATTAGATGTACCAACAAAATAACACTGAAAGCCATACACATCCATCAAGAGTGCAGGTAATCGTCAGATGTCATTTTTAGGAGGGTATGAGGGTATGCGTTACCTTTGTTTTTAATACAGTTTGTTAATTTTAAGTTTAGACCATTTAATTTTTAATACTGGTTGTTCTTTACTAATCAACTCACAAAATCCCTCCAAGTTTAACACTGGGCTATGGTGAGCCTTGGGCTTCCCTGGTAATTCGGACAGTAAAGAATCCGCCTTGCATTGCAGGAGACCCAGGTTCAATCCCTGGGTTGGAAAGATCCCCCTAGAGAAGGGAATGGCTTCCCACTCCAGTCTTCTTCCTTGGAGAAATTCCATGGACAGAGCAGCCTGGCAGGCTACAGTCCATGGGGTTGCAAAGAGTCAGATACGACTTAGTGACTTAGCACAGCACATGGTTGATTTACAATGCTGTGCTGATCTCTGCTGTATAGAAGAGTGACTCAGTTATATACATATAGACATTCTTTTTTTTAGGACTTCCCTGATAGCTCAGCTGGTAAAGAATCCACCTGCAATGCAGGAGACCCTGGTTTGATTCTTGGGCTGGGAAGATTCCGCTGGAGAAAGGATAGGCTGCCCACTCCAGTATTCTTGGGCTTCCCTTGTGGCTCAGCTGGTAAAGAATCTGCCTGCAGTGCAGGAGACCTGGGTTCGATCCCTGGGTTGAGAAGATCCCTTGGAGAACAGAAAGGCTACCACTCCAGTATTCTGGCCTGGAGAATTCCATGGCCTGTATAGTCCATGGAGTTGCAAAGAGTCGGATGTGACTGAGCGACTTTCACTTTCAAAGGCCTTCTTTTTAAATTTTCTTTTCCATTGTGGCTTAGCACAGGATATTGAGTAGAGTTGCCTGTAAGCCCACACTTTAAAATTGAGGGGTACACCACCTCCTTTACTACTTGAAGGTGGCATCCCCCAAGATGGCTGCTCTTTCCCGAGACTTCATGCTCAGGCCTCACTCATCCTATCTCTTTTCTGGTGCTTTTCCCACAGCAGTTGCATTTCTGGGCTTTGTGCACTGTTGGAGGACAGGAAACTGCCTTTGTTTCCAGGTCTCCCCCTCTGCCCCGTGATGTTTCCCTGCACACCACGGCACAGTGAATGACTCACACAGCTGAGATGTGCGAAGGCGATTTATAAAGAGCTGAGGTGGAAGGAGAGACAGTGCCGTTACCAGCTCCCTGCTCGTGAAGGGTGCTGGTGCCCCGAGAGGGAGTTGACACCCAAATGGAAGTGAGAGCCCCTGGACCAACACGGGCACACTAACCTTAAACACCCAGCATTTCACAAGGAAATTGCCTCTCGAGCACTGGGAGAGAAAGGAGCCCCATAAATGAGTCGCCTTTGAACCTTGTATACAGAGCAGTGAGTTATTTTTAAGCTGAAGATCACAGCAATGTTCCCTCTAGGTCTCCCTCCTGCTCTCCTAACCCCCGGCAGCTCCAATCTCTGCAATTGTAGAAACCTACATTGACCGTGAGATGAATGGTAAGGCTGTGTTGTGAGCATTGTGAGCATCTAGGCTGGGAGCCGGGTCTGCAGGCTTCTAAATGGTCACCTGCTGGATCCCCGGGAATCCTGGTGGCCTCTACTCCCCATCAGCAGGCCCCCGATTCTCAGTCATTTGTGAAGTACTCACTGGGTGACAGAGCCCTCCCCCATGCAGTTTTCCTATAATCTTTTTACTACTGCTACTCACAGCACTAGTGGCTCAGATGGGTAAAGAGTCCGCCTGCAATGCAGGAGACCTGGATTCGATCCCTGGGTCGGAAAGATCCCTTGGAGAAGGGAACAGCTACCCACTTCAGTTATTCTGGCCCGGAGAATTCCATGGACAGAGGAGCCTGGCGGGCTACAGTTCATGGGGTTGCAAAGAGTCGGACACGACTGAGCAAATTCTTACACGTACTCATAGCACTACTTCTAGTCACCAAATGTCTGGGTTTTCCCCACACTGACCAATTCCCTGACCCCAGCTAGGGGTCCTACAGTGTAATTCACTTCTGACACTTAACTGCCCGGAGCTCAGCATCAGATCCTACAGGTTAAGGACTCAGTCCCACAGGGCCACCCTTGCTTCAGACGGCTGTTAGAAGTAGTGGGTCACCGGGTTACTCACAACTTCTGTCCCTCTTGGCTGCAAATCAGGGTTTCGAGTGATCCCCTCGTCAGGTTTGATAACTTATTAGAAGAGCTCACAAAACTCAGGGAGACGCTTATGAGGTTCATCAGTTTATTATATATTAAAGGGAATGATAAAAGCCAAAGATGAAGAGATGCTCAGGGTCAGGTAAGAAAGGGTCCCGAGTGCAGGAGTGTCTGTCCCCATGGTGCTGGGGTGCACATCCCAGCACGTGGGTGTGTTCACCAACTCAGAACCTCTTGGACCCTGTGATTTTTCAGACTTTTGTGGAGGTTTCATCACATCTGCTTTGTGTTAGTCGCTCAGTTGTGTCTGACTCTTTGCGACCCCATGGGCTGTAGCCCACCAGGCTCCTTGTCCATGGGGATTCTCCAGGCAAGAATACTGGAGTAGGGTTGCCATGCCCTCCTCCAGGGGTTCTTCCCAACCCAGGGATCAAATCTAGGTCTCCTGATTGCAGGCGGATTCTTTACCAGCTGAGCTACCAAGAAAGCCCTTCAACACATAGGCATAATAATTATCAACTCAGTCTCCAGCTCCTTTCCTCTCCCTCCAGGAGATCGGAGGAGGTGGCTGAAAGTTCCAATCATGGCCTGGTCTTTTTGGTGACAAACCCCCATCCAGGAGCCCACCCAGACTCATAAGAAATTCTAAGAAATGTAGGAGTTTGGTGTCAGAACTAGGCTCAAAGACCAAATATTAAACCAGAAAATGTTCTCCTAGCACCTTTGTTGTTTAGGAAATTGTGAAGGCTCTAGGAGTTCCAGCCAGGAGCTAGGGATGAAGACCAAAATAAATATGTTATCATTTGGTTGGCCAAAAAGTTCATTCAGAGTTTTCTGTACCATGGGAAAATCCTAACATACTTTTCAGCCAACCCCATATATCACAGTATCATGGTTATGTAAGCGTCATGGGCAGGACGTAACTTGTCTCCCTCAGTTGTATCAGCCATCATGCAAGACAGCATCGCCATTTCACAAATGAGAAGGAACAAAGAGGTCAAGTCACAGCCCATGGTCACAGAGCCAAGTGGGCTCAGCTAAGGAGCAAACAGAGGAGCAGACTGAGTGGGTTGGAGCCTTGACCCCTGGACCTTTCCTCTGGGCAGACCAGTGGCGTTTAAAACCCAGAACTCTGTTCTAAAGCACACTGCCTTCTCTTAGGGGCTGTCGACAGTGGTACAGGCTGATCTTCCAATGCCAGGATGTTTTAATTCAGAGCGGACTTCTTCTAGCTGATGGGAGGCTTCTGAAAAATATTCACACAAAATTCACACATAGATTTTTTCCATAAGAATGTCTGCTGCCTCCAGCCCATCAGTCAGTGTTGGTGGCCTCAGGCAGTCGTGGTAGCAGCCCAGTGGTTGTATGACAATTCCTTAAAAAGAAAAGACTATCCATCCACCATAGATAAATATAGCTCCACATGTGCAAAACCCATTTTAACATCTGCTCCAAAAGGCTCCTTGAAAATGTCCTTCGTGAGTGTTCTGTGTTGAGGAGCAAGAGCTCTTTAAGAAATGCAATTTCATTCCAGGAATCTTAGCTTTTCGAAGTCTCCTAGCTCGAGCCATTGTTCATAGCAACAGACTATTAAAGAAATAAGATTGCTCTATATAAAAGAAGTTATACCTGCTTCTGGGTGAGGAAGAGAGAATAGAAAAATTCCTTGTGATGGGAGAAAATTTAATCATGCAGTCAAGGCCATGTATTCAGCCAGAAGATTTTTGGGGGGCACAGAGGGCATCAAGAGAACAATAAAAAATGATTTTTTATCAGTGCTATCCCTCACAAGCTTTGTGATCTTGGGGGAAGCCACTTAGTGTCCCTGGGCTTCCATTTTTTTCAAGTGTGAAATGAAGTGTTTGGACCAAATCAGTGAGACTTGAAACTGACTTGACTGTGACCTAGTTATACATTTTCCATGGCCACCCGGAACACACATGTATCCACACCTAGATAATCACATACAGATACCCCCCTATGTGGCTAAAACATCTCTGATGTTTCCTCTTCATCTCTGGGCTATGCTCATCAAAAAGCTGGTCCTGATCCACTAACCATTTCACAACTTTTGGCAATGCACTGTTTGAAGAACATGGGACTAGATACAGGCATCCTTGTTCTGTATAGTACTTTGCTTTAGTGTGTCTTTTTTACAAATTGAAGATGTGTGGTAACCCTGCATTGTCAGATGATGGTTAGCATTTTTTAGAAATAAATATTTTTATTTTGACCATACCCACAGCATGCAAGATCTTAGCTCCCCAACCAGGGGTTGAACCTGTGCCCCCTGCCTTGGGAGCACAGAGTCTTAACCACTGGACCACCAGGGAAATCCAAGCAATAAGTATTTTTAAAATTAAGGCATGAACATTTTTAAGACATAATACTATTGTACACTTAATAAACTACATGTGTGCATGCTTAGTCATGTCCGACTCTTTTTGACTCTGTCAACCATAGCCTGCAGCCTCCTCAGTCCATGGGATTTTCCAGGCAAGAATACTGGAGTCTGTTGCCATTTCCTCCTCCAGGGGGTCTCCCTGACCCAGGGACCGAGCCCACATCTCCTGCGTCTCCTGCATTGGCAGGTGAATTCTTTACCACTGAGCCACCTGGGAAGCCCTAATAGACTATAGTATAAAAACATTGCTTTCATGTACACTGGGAAACCAAAACATCCATGTGACCTGCTCTATTGCAAAACTCACTTTTTTGTGACATTCACTTTGTTGTGGTGATCTGTCACCCAACCCACAGTTTCTCCGAGGTCTTCCTGTGGTGTCTGAAATTCCTTCTGACCTGAGACTTCTCTTGCTGTCTTCTGATGAGTGATGTGGAAGGAAGAGGCAGAAATTCTGAAAGGCAAACTGAATGGCTTCGATGGCCTATTTCTACCAAGCGGGGCCAGTTGAAGTTCATAAGGACAAGCTTCTGTGGAGGACTTTTTTAAGATATGCTTAAAACTTAAGAATGAGTATAAAGACATCTAGCCAACTTTCTTAAAAAATTTGCCTTTTTGTAAAAGTACTTAAAATATAGAGGGAGACTCTGTGGGTCTTCAATCCATGGGATTGAATCACTTCTAACAGTCAGTAGTGTGATGTTTCCAGAACGTCATTTGGAATTTGGGGAGAGCCTTGGGTCCTGGCAGGATTTGATCCCTCCCCAGACCACACAGTCTGGGGCCAGGACCCAGAAATCCTGAGTACTGACAAGTCTCTGCAGGTCACTCCTGGGCATGTGAATATATGGAAATCACTCACGTTCCAGGTCCTCAGAAAGAAAGCTCAGAGTTACTGGGTCAACAAGCTGAGTTAATCCACATAGACCCACAACCAGGAGCAAGTTCCCAAGGCAGCCAACTATGCAGCCCTCCCGCTCCTCCCCCAGTGCCTAATCTGTGTAGGGAAGGGTTTCTCTAGGTCTCAGAAGCACTTAAGTTTATAACATTTTACAGATTGCCACCAGATGGGGGTGTTTTCCTGTGCAAGGAATCTTCCCAGGGCTCAAACACATGATAGCAGACATTACAACCAACATGAGGGGAGGGGTGTTAGTGCAGCCCCTGCTCCATTAGTCTTTGAAGGTCACCCACCAGCAAAGCATCATCTTGTCACCCAGAGCATTGGGTCCCGAAAATCTTGTCATTTTTCTAAGTAGTGCAGGAGAGCCCACTGTGTACCTGCTCCAGCCAGGCATTGTGGATACAGCAGGGACCAAGCCAGCTTGGCCTTCACCCTCCTAGAGTTCAGAGTCAACGTGTAATCAGTGGTTTGGTACAGGGAACCCCTCCATCCTTGAGGCCTCTGGGAAAAAGGTAATGTAGCAAGAAAGAGCCTGGTGAGGAGTGGGAGAAGTCCCAGAGTCCCAGTGCTGGGACATCATCCATCCAGGGAGGTTCAGATCTGATTCCCAGCAGGAAGGGTGGAGGTTGAGAGACCCTGGAAGGCCAAGTCGGGGGCCCTAGGAGGCCAGTAAGGAGGTCCTGTTGGGGGCCTTAGGAGCAGAGACAGGGTCGGTGAGGCTCTGAGAGGCTGAGTCGGGGGCAGGGAGGCTGCTAGACTGTGCCTTTGACCACAGCAGGTCCATATTTATCTGTTATCACATACATCTCATGTTCATACCACCCAAAAAAAGTTGTAAGTAAAAGTTCTCCTTCCAAAGAGAATGGGGTGGGAAAGAGGAAAGAAATGAAAGAAAAGAAAGCTGGAAAAACTGACGCCACCCAGCGCCTCCCAGAGCATTAAAGGGCCCTTCTCTGGCCCTAGAGATGCAAGGCTGGTCCACTCTGGTGGCATGGGGGTGCGCCAGCCTCCCCGCAGACCAGCAGGCACGGCTCAGGAAGGGTCCCTGTGAGCTCCCACCATGGCTTCCTGGAGATTCGGACCACGTGCACATCATCTGTGGTCTTTGTACCTGGCATGTGGTAGATGATCAATAAGTAGAACTGACCCGAGATTGCCTGGTTAAATGTCACCTTTGTGATAGTTGCTGAGTGTTTGGAGTCACAGGGATGGTCCCCAAAGCTCCCAGTTTAGAAGGTAAGGGAGATTACATCTGAGCAAAGCCCTGGAGGAGGCTCTGTGGGCTTCACACAGGAAGAGGGTGCCCACAGGGACTTGGTGGGCCCCAGGCAGTAACCCATCCATTGGTGTGAACCCTGGGCCTGGCCAGTGAAGGCCACTATCCTGGCCTGCATACACAGGCAGGCCTGTGTATCCTCGAGGCAGTGTCCTCGACTGCATACACAACTACTTGTCTCTGACCTCCCTGTGAGGTGGTATCCATTCTCACCCACTGGGTGGGAGAGGCACCCCCTCCCTCCTCTCATAGCTGGTGCCCCCCAGGTCCTGAGTGTGTCTCCCCCATCAACAGCTGCACAGCGAGGTGGAGAAGCCCCTGATGAACTTCCGCGAGAACTTCAAGAAGGACATGAAGAAGTGTGACCACCACATCGCAGACCTCCGCAAGCAGCTTGCCAGCCGCTATGCCGCGGTAGAGAAGGTGAGGGCCCAGGTTGCAGAGTGGGGGGGGTCATGCTGGAGGGAGCAGTGCCTGGGAGCCAGCCGGGGCTCCGCATGCCCTGGCAGGGGCGTTTGTCCCCCCTGCAGCCAGATCTGGGGATGGGGGTTAGTATGAGAATCCCCTCCCCTGGCCAGAGGTTAAGTGTGTGCTTCCCCTGGTGCTCAGATTCCCAGTTGGGGTGGAAGAGGCTGCACCTGCCTTGGGGTTGTAGGGGGCTTCCATCTGGAATGTGAGACAAGGTACACCCTAATTTTGAGGATCCTGCAGCCTGGATGTACTGCCAGTCCACACAGGGCCCCTTTGTCTGGGTCTCACTTGGCAGATTCCCTCCTGACTGAACCACCCCCCTCCCAGAGGCCGAGGTGGTCTGATCTTGCTGGGAGCTCTGATGGTCAGTTATGGAGCAGAGAGAGGTCTCCCCCCGGGGCTGACCCCAGCGCCTTTGCAAGGGGTGTGGGAGAAAAGGGCACCTTAGACCCTGCCAGAGGCCAGCACCGAAAGGCCCATCCCACCCCAGAATGGGGAGGCTGGTGTTGCCAGCCGCTGACCACTGTTAGGAGGTGACATTGATGACCTCTGTGGTCCCTGCTGCCCCAGAGAAGCTGTGGTCTCAGGACTGCCTGGGTCCCCAGTACATATATATGTGCCAGTGAAAGCATGCTCTGGGGGCCTTGCTCTAGGCCAAGGATGAAAGGATACTTTGCAGTCTCAGTGTGGTCCCCAGCTGGCTGGGTGATGCTGGTCTCGCCGCTTAGCCTGACGGAGCTCCTGTAGCCTCATTTACCAAAGCAGGGAAGAGAAAGGACTTGCCTAGGAAAGACCCTGATGCTGGGAAAGATTAAAGGCAGGAGTAGAAGGGGGTGGCAGGTGGCAGAGGGCAAGACGGTTGGATGGCATCACCAACTCAATGGACATGATGAGCAAACTCCAGGAGATGGTGACAGGGGAGTGTGGCATGCTGCAGTCCGTGGGGGTTGCAAAGAGTCAGACGCAACTTAGCGACTGACCAGCAACCTAAAAAAGGGGGCCCTTGCTGTCTCTGAGCCTGTGGTTAACTCCACGTCCTTGGACCCCAGGCCCGAAAAGCCCTCACGGAACGGCAGAGAGACTTGGAGATGAAGACCCAGCAGCTGGAGATCAAGCTGAGCAACAAGACGGAGGAGGACATCAAGAAGGCTCGGAGGAAGTCCACGCAGGCGGGTGAGTGCGGCCCTGTCATCTGCTGCCCCGTCTGTCCTCACCCGGTCCCAGCGACATGGACAGGAGAGGCCGGGAGATGGGGTGCCTGGGAACATGCATTCCACGGGGTGAGACTGGGGCTGCAGGCTGTGGCACGGGAAGCAGTGGTGAGGGAGGGGTCTCCCCACACCCTACCCAGAGAGGGCTGCTTCTGACCTAAGCCCAGGGTCTCTGGTCAGGTGGTTGTCAGACTCCTCCAGGGACCTGGAATTGAGGGATCCTGCCGCTGCCTGGAGTTCCTTGAAGTGCAAATCCCACCCACCCTCCAAGTTGCCCCACCTCCCCGGGTAATAGTTCTCCAAAGGTTCTCCTCTAGTGATGGACGTCTGACATTTTGTTTAAAGAAATAATCGCATTTCAGGGACTTCTCTGGCAATTCCGCGGTTAAGACTACTTGCTTCCAATGCAAGGGGTGCAGGTTTGACACCTGATTCAATAACTAAGAACCCACATGCCTTGCACTACGGCCAAGAAAATATTTTTAAAAAAGAAAGGAAAGAACCATATTTCAGATTCTCTCCAAAATATTCCTCAGTGAGTCAGCATCTGCTTCCACCTAGAGGTAAAGATTAGCTAATACACAAGGGAAGGGGAGAAAAGTCAGCAAGAAACAATTTTTTTTTTTAATTTCGATATTTCTTAACAACCAGTTTCACAATATACAAAGGCAATGCATTTTGCTTTCTGGGATTAGAATATGTGCTGTGAGATACGGTTTGGATTAGATGGTTTGGTCTCTAAATCTTTTTCACCCCAACTTGTGGTGAACCTGGTGTTATTAGTTCATTAAAGGACGAAAAACAGCCATCTTAGGGACATTTTGAAATAAGGTGGTGTAAAGATGTCATAACAGAATAATGTAATAGAAATGCAACATTTATATAAAGATCTTTAATAGCACAGTAGTAGAAACAGAAGCCATGCTACACTTGCTGGGAGTAGGAAAGAAAACCCAAGGAGAAGAGAGGCGCATTTAAATTAGCTTAACTAAAGAAACTGTTAAATAATTATATTACAGAAACAATATTGCTGTTTGACAAAATATTTTAATCAACACAGAAGAATATAAAATCTTATTCCCCAGATATAGTCACTGTCAACACACCCTAATTTTTTAAATGTTTTTAATATTTAAATTTATATACATATCATACTGTTCTGAACTTCTATTTTAATAGATGTAACTTAGAGATAGGTCTATTTTATCATCAGTTTATTTACCCATCCATTTATGTACATCAGATTTCCTAAATAGTTGAAAAATGTGCAAGTATATGATTGTATCCAGATTTATTTCATCATTCCCCTAATGGACTTTTGTAAGACTTTCAGATTGTTCAGAGTGTTTGTCAGTGCCAATGATGCTGTTACTATAAATGCCTCTCTGTGGGGGGTGGGGGTCTGCATGTCAATGGGATGTTGGGGCGTTTAACTGGGTCAGAGGCTTGTATTCATTTTGATGGATGTTTCCAAGTTGCTTCGCAGATGGGTGTGCCTACTCTCTATGAATGCCTGTTCCCTAAACTCTTGTCAACACTGTATGCTGTCTCATTTTGATATCGTAGCTATCTGGTGAAAAATAGTATTTTGTTTCTAATTTAACTTACACTGCTTTTTGAGTGGAGTTGAGCATTTTAAAAATAGACTTTTAAATCATCTGTGACTTTTGTTTTTAAAATGATTCACTCATATTCTCTTCGCATTTTCTTGTCAGATGGCTGGTCTTGTTCTCATTGATTGATTGACAGGGATTGTTAGGAACATCAACATTTTGTCATTTGAATTGCAAATATTTTTCATAAGTGGTTTATTTTTTTATTTTGTTCTTTGTATTTCTTTTTCATTTTTTTTCTTGGTTTGTTTAATCTTCACTGTGGCTCTCTGAAAGTACTGTTATTATCCCCATTTTACAGATGAGGAAACTGAGGCACAGGCAGGTGAATCAACTTGGTCCAAGGCTGCACAGCTAGTAAACAGTGGAGCTATATGACACCCCAATAGTCTGGTTCCAGAATCCATGTCCTTAACCCATACTGTTCAGAAGGGTCTGATTTCAAACCCTTGGACTACATAGAGAAGAGACACACCTGCCTTCATCTACATTATTTCCTGATGTTGCAGAAGTTCGTGAAGCATGTTCTCAACATCAGAATCAACAAATAAAGCTTTGGGAATTTCATATTGTGTTTATAAGAGTGACCTTACCCACGGTCAGGCACAGGCTTTTGGTGGGACTATGACTGCAGTAAAATATCCACTTTCTTCCCTCCAGTTCAGTCCTTCTTGGGATCAAGGGCTCACCCATTGGCATCGGACCGAGAGCAAAATGAACCAAGCCCTTGATGTGGGTTCTGTTACTCAAGGCTTCAGTTCAGTTCAGTCACTCAGTCGTGTCCGACTCTTTGCAACCCCATGAATCGCAGCACACCAGGCCACCCTGTCCATCACCATTTCCCGGAGTTTACTCAAACTCATGTCTATTGAGTCGGTGATGCTATCCAGCCATCTCATCCTCTGTCGTCCCTTCTCCTCCTGCCCCCAGCCCCTCCCAGCATGAGGGTCTTTTCCAATGAGTCAACTCTTCGCATGAGGTGGCCAAAGTATTGGAGTTTCAGCTTCAGCACCAGTCCTTCCAATGAACACCCAGGACTGATCTCCTTTACGATGGACTAGTTGTACCTCCTTGCAGTCCAAGGGACTCTCAAGAGTCTTCTCCAACACCACAGTTCAAAAGCATCAATTTTTCAGTGCTCAGCTTTCTTCACAGTCCAATTCTCACATCCATACATGACCACTGGAAAAACCATAGCCTTGACTAGATGGACCTTTTTTGGCAAAGTTGTCTCTGCTTTTTAATATGCTATCTAGGTTGGTCATAACTTTCCTTCCAAGGAGTAAGCGTCTTTTAATTTCATGGCTTCAGTCACCATCTGCATATATTTTGGAGCCCAATAAAATAAAGTATGACACTGTTTCCACTGTTTCCCCATCTATTTGCCATGAAGTGATGGGACCAGATGCCATGATCTTAGTCTTCTGAATGTTGAGCTTTTTTTTTTTTTAATTTATTTTTATTAGTTGCAGGCTGATTACTTTACAATGTTGTAGTTGTTTTTGCCATACATTGACATGAATCAGCCATGGATTTACATGTGTTCCCCATCCTGATCCCCCCTGCCACCTAGAAGGATGGGATCCTCCCTATCCCATCCCTCTGGGTCTTCCCAGTGCACCAGCCCTGAGCACTTGTCTCATGCATCCAACCTGGGCTGGTGATCTGTTTCACACTTGATAATATACATGTTTCAATGCTATTCTCTCAGATCATCCCACCCTCGCCTTCTCCCACAGAGTCCAAAAGTCTGTTCTGTACATCTGTGTCTCTTTTTCTGTCCTGCATATAGGGTTATCATTACCATCTTTTTAAATTCCATATATATGCATTAGTATACTGGATTGGTGTTTATCTTTCTGGCTTACTTCACTCTATATAATGGGCTCCAGTTTCATCCATCTCATTAGAACTGACTCAACTGTATTCTTTTTAATGGCTGGGTAATATTCCATTGTGTATATGTACCATAGCTTTCTTACCCATTCGTCTGCTGATGGGCATCTAGGTTGCTTCCATATCCTGGCTATTATAAACAGTGTTGCGATGTTGAGCTTTAAGCCAACTAAAGCAAGAATACACAGAAGAACTCAAGGCTTAGCTCCCAGATAATGGTATGGTTCACTGGGGAGGAGACCCTGAGCCAGGCCCTGGGCATAACTCTCCCCCTCTTCCCTTCACTTTCACATCTGAATACATGTGAGCAAGTGGTGCCATTCTAGGGATCCCTTTGAAGGGTTAATCCATTATCTTTGGGTTCACTTGTGAGTTTTCCCACCGTGAGCCGGGTCCCTGGTATCTTCCTTTCTCTGGAGCCCTGTGATGATCAGGAAGCTCTGTGCACACCGACCTCTGCTCCTCCCACTGTGATGTGCACATGGACCACCCAAGGATCTTGTGAAGATAGTTTCTGACTCACCCTGTCTGGGAAATATCATGAGATCACCTTTGGAGCAAATATCCAGGGTGTACCAATGCTTCTGGTCCAGGAATTGTGTTCTTTGTAGCAAGAGTCTAGGGTACCAGGACCTTAGTAACACTTTCAGTTTGCTTTCTTTCAAACTATAAACTGTCTCAAACATATATACAATCACATAAAAGAATACACTGGCCATCAAGATAGAATAGTTTGTTTCAGATGTCTCTCTTAAGAAATAAAATGGTATGGAAAGAGCCCATCCCTTCCCACCCCCACCCTTTCTCTGATTCCCAAGGTAGCCAATATCCTGGAATTGGTGTGTTAAACTCTGGTGCCTGTTTTTATACCATTACTGCACATGAATGAGCCATAAAGCATCAGACACATTCTTTTGTGTTTCAGAATGACAGCCTGCTGCCTGTACACACACACAGACGCACGCATACAGACACACAACCACAGAGACACACACAGACAAACCACTGAACAGATGTGATGTGCAAACTTCCCTTCTGTAACTAGTACCAAGTTGCTTGAGACACATGTTCAACCAAGCAGGACTTGCCAGTGTGAAATAAAACTGCCATCTCTAGAGGAGGAATCATTTCTGGGGCTCATGATAGACTTGAGGGGTCCCCGGAGTACCCCCACCCACACTGTACATACACTCTTACTGAGAAACTCCCTTCCTGAGTTTTTGGCATCTGGAGTTAAGTTCAGGTGGACGCTATGAAGCCAGTCTTGCATAATGTTGGGTTGCCCCTTCTTTGCCTCCATCACCCCAGCCATGGGGTGGGAGTGGCAGAGGGCAGCCCTGGTGAGGAGTGACAGAGTGACAGTGGCCTTGGCCCTTTGTAGGAGACGACCTCATGCGCTGTGTGGACCTCTACAACCAGGCCCAGTCCAAGTGGTTTGAAGAGATGGTGACCACCACGTTGGTGAGTGACCGGAGATGTGGAAGCATGTCCCCGCAGGGGTGGGCGCTCAGGAAGCTGTGGGTGGATGCTGGTGGACGTGAGGGCGATGGGGTGGAGGTGAGAGATGGTCATTAGATCTGCTCTAATGTTGAGACTGAGACCCTATCTCCAGGCCAGGCGATGTGGATTCATACCCTTGCTCTGGCACTTCCTACTGTGTGAACACAGGCAGCTGTGGGTTCTTGCCATATCCTCCTGAGGGGTCAGGGTCAAATGAACAGAGTGGTCCATTTAGGAAAAATAGCCAAGTTGTAGTAAATGTGGGCCTTCCTACCCCCAGAATAACTAAGGGTCTAAGATCGCAGAGCCTTGCGAGATGTGTGGATGGGTGAGGTTGGGGCAGTGGGGGAGGCCTCTGACCAGGGGCCAGGGAACAGGCATCAGACCACTTCTTTGCTCTTCTGAGTATTTCTGTGAAGTCAGCACCCGCTGAGTAGATGGTGAGATGGCTTGGCACTTGGGCCACTGGGCCAGGTGAGAAAGGAGGTGTCCTGCCAAGTGCTTATCACACCATCCCTCTGCCCCAAGCCACCCCCATCCATCTGCCTATCCAGCACGGGACTAACCCTCTGCCTTCCCCAGGCACCAGCACACCAGAGCAGATTAGAGGCCCCCCACAGGGACAGTGACCTAGATTTCCTCCCGGTTAATCTCCTAATTAAGCTTCCTGCTTACTCCCCCTGCTCCCCAGCTAATCACCTGGGCAGTGACCTAGTTGTACACAGAATAGTGGCCAGATCCCCTAAATTCCAAAGATGCAGGGCCATCTAGGAGCCAAATTTCTGTTCTTGTGGCCTTGGCCACCCCGCTCCTGGCCCTCCTGCCTCCCCCGCCTGTCCCTCAGCACTCAGGTGGACAGAGGAGACGAGGCCACTCAACAGAGGTCCAAGGACAAAGCCCCAAGAGTTTGAAGGGCAGAAGCTCCTGCATGTGTTTCATTTCTCAACCACGTCAGGGCCTGGGGCTGCAGTGGTGCAGAAGTTTGATTAAAGGCAAAACTGGGGGCTTCCCTGGTGGTCCAGTGGCTAAGACTCCACACTCCCAGTGTAGGTGGCCTGTGTTCAGTCCCTGGTCAGGGAGCTACATCCCACGTGCTGCAACTAAGATCCTGCACAGCCAAATAAATAAATTTTTTTTTAAATGCACAAAAGTGCAAATCCCACTGCTCCCATAATTGCCTGTCACTTTGGGCAAGCTATGTTACCTCTCGAGGTGTTCATTCCCTTGTTTGGAAAAGGTAAGAACAGAACCTGTATCTCTTAACATTGTGATGAGGACAGTTAAGCGATGTGCAGAAAGCTCGCAGCACCCACAATGCCTGGAAGAAGGAGATTCAGGAAACAGCAGCCACTGCATCCTTGGCTATACCTTTGCCCCCAGATACGGGGTGGGTGCCTCGCCAGACCCCAGGGAGTCGGGCAGCATCTGTGTTTTGCCTCTAGGGTGGTCTAGGACCCATGTAGGGGGACAGTCCCCAGGTTGGAGGGACACCCCCCAGAGGTCTCTGTGGGTTTCCTCCTCGGCAGGAGCTGGAGCGGCTGGAGGTGGAGAGGGTAGAGATGATACGGCAGCACCTTTGCCAGTACACACAGCTGCGGCACGAGACGGACATGTTCAACCAAAGCGTGAGTTCTCCACCCTAGGTCGAGGCCAGCGGCACCCAGGGGGACGCTGGACCAGGGGGAGCCATGGCCTTTGTGCCATGGTGGCAGGTTACATAACTGCTACGGAGGAATCTGTCCTGAGGGTGGGCAGGGACTCGGGCCTGTGGGCGACCTCTTGGGATGGACCTGTCAGTTACCCTGGACATCCACGTGACTCCATCCCAAGTGCACCCCATAGACGCGTCATGATGGTTAAAATAGCTGGAGGTGACCTTGCCTCCTCTGTTGGGTTTCTTACAATGCTGGAGCTATTCAAAACCTCTCAAGCTAAAGTTCAGTAAACCTGTTTTCAGGTGGTAAATGGGGGGGACACGTGGAGAGAGGAACGGGTCACAGACTCTTGAACCCACCTGCCATTTCACCCACCCTGTGGTCTGGAGGTCGCGTGCATGAGGGGAATCAGAGCAGAGGCCAGAGCCCTGCGCCCCCCGACCCCCGGTTCTCCCAGCCCCCACATCTGTCCCTCGCACAGGCCTTCCCAGGACCCCTGCTGCTGCCACAACCCTCTAAAGCAGCTGCTCTGTCGGGCTAGGGTGTGAGTGGCGTGGCTCAGAGGACACGCCCCTGGCTCCGCCTCCACCTCTGACTGCATCCTCTCTTCTCCGTCCCTTGTCCCTTGCAGACAGTCGAGCCTGTGGACCAACTGCTTCGAAAAGTGGACCCAGCCAAAGACAGGGAGCTGTGGGTCAGAGAGCACAAGACGGGCAACATCCGCCCCGTGGACATGGAGATCTAGACGCACGGCCCCGGGGGTCCTACCGAGGAGGGGCTGGGGGTCCCATGGAGAGGAGGTGGCGCTCCCGCCGGGGGATGGGGGGCCAGGGTCGGGAGTGGTGCTGCCCTCTCCCCGCTCTCCTGGTCCACTGAGGAGAGGGGAAAGTGATGCCGGAAGGGCGGCCCAGATGGCCCCACCGGGAGCTCCCGGGTGTTCCCAGGCCGAGAAGATGGATCCACAGCCCTGCCCTTGCCTCTGAGGCTGAAGCCCCCTGAGTCCCGTGCTGCGCTTGCCACTCCAAGGACAAACCGAGACTGGAACTTTGTGGTCCCTGTTTAGTACCAGAGGGGTCCCCTCCCCACCCAGAGCAATTGTGTCCCATGCTCATGCCCTTCTTCCAACGACCTCCTTGTCTCCAGGGCTTTGGAGGGGCAGGGGAGGGAGGTCTCCATCTCCAAGCCGAGTGTCAGGATCAGAGTCGTGGAGAGAAGGCCACCAGTCAGCACAGCAGCCCACACCCAGAATCCTTTGCAGCAGCCCTCCCTCTTGATTTTTTTTTCCCCCCTTGAATATTCTGAGGGCCTACATCCTGGCTCTTCTCTGCTACTTTTCACCAATGGGAGTCTTGGGAAGAAGGTCTGGCTCCAGTTTTCCCAGACTGACCCTGCCTGGAGAGGTCAGGATGAAACTACCTCATTCAGCAAATTCACCCCCAGTTGGAGCAGCGAATCGTGTGCCTGTTAAATCAGGCCTCCATGCCACGTGCTCTTTCCAGACATCCCAGTCCACCCAACCTGCAGCCGCTTCCTCGGGGAAGCCCCCTGCTCCACCCTCACGCATCCCAGGGAGCTGAGTCAGTCTCATGTCAGGGAGGGGTTGAGACAAGTCTCTGTCACCCCCCAGGTGGTTCCACCTGCCCGTGCACAGTGGAATTGGGACTGCTGTTCTATGTCTGGCTGTCATTGGCGGGCACCGTTCAGGCATTGCAGACTGTCGTGGCCACAGTACATGTCACCATCCAGGCAGTCGGGTACCTTGGCCTCTCAGCTCCTTCTGCACATTCCCAAGCCCCGCATGGAGCCCCTACTTGGGGCTGGTACCCCCTTGCCCCTTTGCCATCTCCTCTTTCCTGAGAAAGCCTGGTCTGAGCATGACCTGGGAAGCCATCGGGTCCTCACTCATCATTTTCTCGCTTACATACTAAATCTTGAGAATTGGCTTGAGGGGATTGGAAGAAGAAAAGGGCTGGAGGAGGTCAGACAGCTTGCAAGGGGCACATTCCAGCCTGGAGCCCACACCCTAAGAACCTGTATTTCTTCACTTTTCCCATTGATTACTTTGAATTCACAGAACTCATGTCTCATAAGGGCAGCCGTCTGAGAGGACAACTCACTGGTCTTTCTCTCCGTCGTCCAGGCTGGTAACTGATGACTTGTTTTTCTTGTATCTCTTGGTATCCCTTTCTCTTGAGTCAGTATGGCGCCCTCATAGTGATAGTAGAAAGATGCTGAATATCCTAAAGCAAACCAAGCTTTGCCACTTTTCTTATCAAAACATCCCAACCAGAAAGGTCAATGTGAAGGCCTTTACCAACATACAGGCCGCCAAGATGGATCTGTGTCTGGTGTGGAGAACTACTCCTTCCAGTCTGGGGTTGGGCTGTGACACCAGCTGCCCATTTGGGGCTATCATTTCTTGGTTTCTTGATTAAAAAAAAAAAAAAAAAGATGGGTGCTAGCAGTAATTGCTTTGTGGCTTGGTCAACTAATTTGTGGATGATTTTCTGACATTGAAAGCCAATAGCCTTGTTATTAACATAGATACTTTCATGTGTGATGTGGCTCATTGACTTGTTTTCTCATCCCCATCTGAGGATTCCAGAGTCTTCTGTTATTCCCTGGGGCTCTCGCCTCTTCTAGGGTAGCCTGAGTTGGCCTCATGTAGGCCAGTCTATTTTCTGAAGTCACGCTTTCCCCCTTTTCCCTCGGTCTCATTAGACACCCCCATATACTTCTTTTCCTTTTCCTTCCCTCCTTTATTCATTCATCAAGCATTTAGGTAAGCCTGGGCGATGTGCAAAGATCTCAGAACAAGATATAGCCCTGTCATCAGGGAAACCCATGGTCTGTTCTTTTGTGTAGACTCGTCTTTTTTCCTAGGGTCTTGCAGGTCAGTAACCTTGGCATTCACCTACAGATACTCTCTGCAGAGTTTAGGTTTGCAGAGCTACCATCTGTTGTACTGATAGCTCTTCACTCATTCATTCATTCATTCATTGAATCAGCAGACACTTGGGGCAAGCTAGTTATTATGCCAGTACTACAGACGTAGCTTCGTACCAGCTAAGAACTCTGCTCCACCCCACCCCCTGTATTCTCCATGTGGACAAGGGCATGTTTTCAGACCTTTCTGGGAAACCAGAGCCTTGCATCTCTTCCACATTTAACCCACTGGGAGCCTGTAATAAGCCATGTGGCATTTACCCAAAGACAGAAGAGCCAGACGGCACCAAGAGTATGATCACGGGGTCACTAGACACACAGCCCATATCCAACTCAAATTTCAGAGATTTGTTTGTTGCAAATAATTCTTGCTTTACACAGAGGAAGAAAGAAGCCCATGGACAGCCAGTGAGAGCTGTGAATTGAACAGTGAATCACGAGCAGGGCTGGAGCTGAGAGTCCAGACCTCTGTCCCTATAGTTAGGATGAAGTCTGGAATGTCTGAAAGTCGTCTTCAGAGTGGCGCTCTGCCCTAGTGGTTGGTTTGGTTTGGGTTTGGGTATTTAGGTTATAAGAGGATTTGCTTGGCTTTTATCAGGGTGAGTGATTCCAGGTTATTCTTGAGCACATCCAGTGTTCCATTTCTGAGGACAGGTGAGCCCCTTCTGCCTGGGAGACATGGAGGCACTTTGTCTGTGAAAGCCTGACTTTTAGAATAGAATCTCTAAGACAAACATAAGTTGCCAAGACAACCTCCAGGATAAGCTGCTTGTCCCTCTTTTTTTTTTTTTTTCCTATTGCTTCTGATCAGCGTTGGAAAGCACTGGCCAGCTGACCCTCAGGGATGGCTGACCTGAGGTTCTGCCCATCGGACCACCTTGGGTCTCCTTTTATTCTACCCAACACCTGTGTCAGCTTGGGGGCAGGGAAGGGTGGATTGGATTTCTTTGGGGGGAGACACTTCCCCCCTCATTGAGGCTGATTAACGACCAAAGCAAATAGAAAAACCCTGTATATACTCAGGAATCAGGGGTTTGTATTCCCTTTGTGAAAACCAATCAATTACTAGATTAGGAGATGGAAGCAAAGAAATCTTGGCAGAGCCAAAATCCCTTCTTGGAAATGCAAGCCATAAGATTCCGAGGACATCAAAGACCTCGGCTTGTTTAAGTGATTTTACTTCCAGCGGTGAATGGCCTTGACACGGAGAATTTATACAGGATTCTGCAGACTACTGGTGATTATGTAGATAGGGAAAGTTCCTGGACCAGTGTTAAGTGGGGCACAGATCAGAAGCACACTTCCTTAGCCAGCATACCGTCATTTCCATAAACCTCCCTGTCCCCACACGTCCCACTGCCTTTTCTTGTTCCAAGCTTATTGAAATATTTGACATTTGAAATTGGGGGTTCATGAGCATACAGGAAAATTCACCCTTTTGAAGGATACAGCTCAATGAATTTTGACAAACTTACACAGTGTTATGGGGCTTCCCTGGTAGCTCAGACAGTAAAGAATCCACCTGGAATGCAAGAGACCCAGGTTCAATCCCTGGATCAGGAAGATCCCCTGGAGAAGGGAATGGCTACCCACTCCAATATTCTTGCCTGGAGAATCCCATGGTTAGAGGAACCTGGCAGACACATGGAGTCCATGGGGTCACAAAGAGTTGGGACACGACTAAGCAACTAAAACTTTAGCTTTGACACGGTCTTGTAACCACTGCTGAGATCAACGTAGTCTTTCCATCACTCCAAAAACATCCCCTCAGGCTCTTTGATGTCCATCCACTCTTCCCATCCCCAGCACCTGGCAACCACTGATGGATTTTCTGACCCTGCAGATCTGCCTTCTGTAGTGTATCATAGAAATAGGCAGGAGCCTTTGATTCTGGCCGCCTCACTCAGCTTGATGCGTCTGAGTCACCTTGTCGTAGGATGTCACTAGCTTGTTCCCCTGCAACGCCAAGTAGCCGTCCGTTGAATGGGTGCACCCCACTGCTTCCTTGCTGTTAAAACCAGTTGTCTGCCTGGAAGCTGCTGACCTGGAGTCTTGAGCTTGTTTGCACAGCTGTTTCCAGCCAGCTGCATCCAATGGTTCTTGGGACTCACAGTTGGCTTTTTATGAGTCATTTTAGGTTTGGGGGCATCTAACACTTAAGTTTTTCACAATGCAGAGAGCTGCTGGGGGTGGAGGCAGGGATGGCGGACAGGGTTTCTGCTGCCCCCTGAAGCTGGCATCTCAGCTGGCAAATCCACTTGCTCCTTGGGACCCTCCCTTCACCTTGCCCAGTCCCTGCCATTTGCTGAGAGTTCAGGGGTGTGGGAGGTGGGTGGAGAGGGTGTGGGTGAGAAAGCAGGGGGCTGGCCGTGGGCTCAGCACCACCCTTCTCTGGATCTTCCTTCACCTGCACACTGAAGGTGTTTATTCTAGAACGTTCTCCCAGGCCTCCTCCAGCTGCTCCATTCTGTCCCTCCTTCCCTTCTCATTTCCAGTTTTGTGCCCAATGCACATGTCACACCTAATCTGAGTCCGCTTGGCACAGCTGTGCGTGCTGTCACCTCACCCCCTCCTGAGAGGTGTCCCTGGGTGCTGAGAAATCTAAAAAGAGATTTTTAGACACAAAAACTTAGTTTCATGAGCTGTTGAGAATGAGGTAGTTCCTCCTCCTTGGATCCCTAAAGAAAGCAGAAGCCATTACCTTTCATCCACTGATGTTCGACACCATGTCCTGAAGGTCACTTCCAAGGAGCAAAACCAGGCATGGAGTCAGACCCCCTCCGTTCAGGTTCTTGTCGATGCCCGAGCCTTGCTTACCTGGCCTGTGCCTCCACCCTCCTGGGTGGTGGCAGAGAGAAAACCACGCCAAACTGCTGATGCTTGTCAGCTCTGGGCGAGACCTCCACGTTTTAATTGTGCCCTGCTCAGTGAAAGCTGAGCAACCAGGTACCTCCCCCAGCCAACAGAAGACATCCTTGGGTCCAGCCAGGTGACAGTATGGGCTGTGGAGCCCACAACACAGGGTCCACCGCTGCCAGGATGCCTCTTTTTTTGGGGGGGAAGGGGGCCTGGGGGCTCTCAACATCATCCCCACCCCACCCCACCCCCACTGGAATCATTTCTATTGGGCCCTTTGTGAAGGTGGGGGACCCAACCCCTCTTTCCTGGCTTGGTGAGACTAAGGTGACAAAAACCAATGTTCTGCTCCCCCCGAACCTTTTAGATGCTGGGGTGTGGCTACTGGAGGGCCTTGTTGGGAGGTGTCTCCAAGGGAGAGGGGCTGTGATGGCCTTTGGATCTGCACTCTTCAGGGGAACTTGGCCCTTTATGTTTGAGGGGTATCCCTAATGGGCTTGCAGTGGTGGGAGGCAGAGGGTCAGGCACATGGGTGCTCTGATGGGGATGGTGTGAACATGGCGACAAGAAAGCATAAGGAACCAGGGCAAGAGCAGCAGACCGGCCCCGCTCTGCTCTCTTGTTCGTCCCATAACCTGTCATCGTCACATCCCCTTCCAGGGACCTGGGCATTTGTTGTCTGTTGAGTGGAGGTGCTCTCCAGCCGGCATCACACGCAGCAAGAGGCCACCTCTCGGGACAGGGGCCTCCAGGCAGCCGTGTGGACCCAGGGACAGTCATTCAAAGGGACACCTGCCATCCTCGGGGATGGGGCCGCAAATCGGTATCTCTGCCCTTCCCTCAGGAAGGGGACAACAGGGCAGGAACAAGCCCCTTCACAGACAGGAGCACATCAGCAAAGCCCACGAAAGCGGGATTTTCTAACAAAATAAACGTGCTTGTTTGCTCTGTTTTCTGTAACTTTTGCTAAATACTTTATACATTTTTAATGTTAAAAAGCTGTGTCTCCTCCAGCATTCCTCATCCCAGTATGAATGTGTTTATTCCACGTTGTATATCCTTCCATCCCCTGGCTGCCTAGATCGGTAAATAAAGTTGATGTACTATAATTTATAAGTAACACTGTTGAAACTCTGATCCCTATGGAGGCTGTAATCCGCCCTTCCCACACCATGCCCATAATAGCATTTGTGTGTATTAATGCTGAAAAATTAAATGTTTAAATTTTGAAGGCGTTTGCTATATATAATTGTTCTGCATTATTATAAAGCATTTTTAGGAAGTTAAATGCTCTCATTTTTTTCCCCCTTCGGCTCTGTGTGTACACTTGAGATGCTTAGATTTCATCCTGTGTAAAATAAACTATCCAGAGACACCGTGTCGTCCCACTGGGTGACCCTCTTTCCTGGAGGGCGCCCACCCTCTTCTTTGTACAAATGGACTCAGTGTCCCTCCCGAGCTGGGTGATCATTTTACCCCCAATTACTTAGCAGAGGGACCACACCCCTGGCCCCAGTCCCCTTCCCTGGAGACCTGTCCCTGTGAACACAAGGGGCTCCTGGCTATTAGTTCCTTTCTCCACCCATGCATCCCATCCACTCATCCATGCAATAATTAGTGAACACCACTGTATGCCAGGGTCTTTCCAGGTGGTGCTAGTGGTAAAGAACCCACCTGCGAAATGCAGGAAACTTAATATGAGATACAAGTTTGATCCCTAGGTTGGGAAGCTCACCTGGAGAAGAGCATGGCAACCCACTCCAGTATTCTTGCCTGGAGAATCCCATGGACAGAGGAGCCTGGTGGGCTACAGTCTATAGGGTCACAAAGAGTCGGACACAGCTGAAACGACTTAGCACACATGCACAGAATGCCAAATATTGCTCTCAGTACTGGGAGCACATTGGTGATGGAAACAGATCAAGAATCTTGACTTCACAGAACTTATTTTCCAGCAGAAAGAGACATGCTAACAAAATGATATACAGAGTGTATGCAGAAAATGATAGGTGTTATGACAAGAGGGCAGGGGGAGGAGGAGGTGGGTAAGTGGCAACATGAAATAGGGTGATTGGAGTGGCCTCATTGAGAAGGTGGCATTTGACCAAAGTCAAGGACACCTCAGAGGAAGCCCAGCAGGTAGCTGCGGGGGAGGATATTCCAGGCAGAGGAGGTGGCCCTGTTAAAGACTAGAGGCACCTCACTGAGGCCAGTTGGCTTGAGCAGACACCGTGATGGGGAGGGGGCAGCTTCTGCAGAGCTTTGCAGGCTTTGGAAAGCCTGTGATTTTGCTCTGGGGGCCGTCCAAGCTGAGGGTACACAGCCCGATTTCCTTGCTGGGGAGCTCACTGTAGGAACAGGGGAGCAAGGCAGCCAGAACGCAGGGACAGGGGACGCTGCCTGCAGGGGTGGCCACGTGGAGGTGGGAAGAATGGTCAGATTCTGGAAGTGCTTTGAAAGTGGAACCAACATGATTTCGAGCCAGTTTGGAGTGGGGTGTGATAGAAAAAGGGGCACAGGGGATGACTCCAAGGATTCTGGTCCAGGCAAGCAGAAGGACAGATTGCTATTTACTGTGATGGGGACAGTCATAGGAGAGGCGTTCCTTCCATTCTCTGCCTCCCACTCACGCTCTCTGAGCCCTCTTTCCCCTCTGCTTCCAGACTGGGGTCAAAGGGTTCGCTTGTCTTTCTGCTCACAGCAAGGGAAGGTGGGGGAGGGTGGCAGGGGCCCCAGGGCTCCCAGCTTAGGGAGAGGACGGGGTCAGCCTCTAGGAAGAGTCTACGTCTTTCAGTCAAGGCCAGGCTGGGAGGGGGAGACACAAACAGATTCACTGGCCAGAGACGAGGGCTTCTCCCCAAGTGGTCTTTGGAGCTCGGGGAGAGTTTATGGCCCAGCTCAGACTTAACAAATCCCCTCACAATACATCATCTCCAACAACTTGTTTGGCTAAGGAACATAAACTCTCCCTCTGATAGAAGATGTTTATGCAGGTTTTCAAACAAACCTCCAGGTCATGACCCCCTCTCTCAGCAGCATCTACACAGCTGCCTATGGTCCCCTCCCAGGGTCGGGCCCCTCCTGGGCACAGCAACCTGAAGAGTGTGGGCAGCACCTGCTCCTTGCTCTCGAGAGGGGCAGAGGGACTGGGGGCTCTGGCTGCCTTCTGTGTTAACCCAGGGTCCTGTCTTCTGGCCCATAGCCTCTTTGTTGTCATGGCAACCCAGCTCCTCACCTTCAGAAACACAGCTCCTTGCCCACTCTGCTCACTCCTTGAGAACGAGAGCTTGGTTTCTTCCTGTGACATTGGCCTTGTCTTACCTGCAAGCTCAGTGCAGACACCCAGGAAGCACTTCTAATCACCTCGCGCACCAGGTTCAGAGGCAAGGGTGGAGGCGTCTGACTTCATTTTCATGGCTTGGGTTTTGTTTGTTTGATGACTGTCCTGTTTCTAACTGCTCTTGAGAACAAATCTCTTGCTGCGGGCTAGTGAAAGCCTAGAAAAGGAGAAACAGCTCCTTTTAAGAAAGAATATGCTATCACAAACTGATGGAAAAAATAGTAAGTATACAGACACACACACACGTGACATTAAGGCCTTCTGAGAAGCACTCTGGATCCGCAGTGGGTGGGGCGACCAGGAGGAATGGGTCAGCACATCTGAACCTGAACTTCTGGGTCCTTCCTGCATAATATTAGCGGGGGCTGGCGGGTGTCTTCCCCCCAGCAGCAGGGACCTGTCATTAGCCTCTTATGAAATAGGATACAAACCCCAAGTCACTCGCCTACACACTGTGTGCTTTATTCTTTGTAGTTACCGTGTGTGCATGCTAAGTTGCTTCAGTTGTGTCTGACTCTGTGTGGCCCTATGGACTATGGCCGGCCAGGCTCCTCTGTCCATGAGATGCTCCAGGCAAGAGTACTGGAGTGGGTGGCCCTTTCTTCCTTCAGGGGATCTTCTCGACCCAGGGATCCAACCCACATCTGTGGCTCCTGCTTTGGCAGGTGGGTTCTTTACCACTAGCGCCCCCTACAAAGCCCTTTGTAGTAACCACCCCTGGATAAAGCCAAGACTTCACTCCCTTTCTAGATGGCGATTCTGGGGTTCCAGGTGTGACGCTCAGCCAAGCAAGGGCACCAGCAGTCTCTCCTTCGGGTGTTGAGATTTCAGGTACAAGCCTACTCACGAGGGCTCTTCCCTGTGGCCCACGCTGGGTACTGAGTTGACCACAGGGGTGGAAGCCTCCCCTGGCAGAGCTCCTTCTTGTCCATTCATTCACTCAGCAAACACATACTACTGTCTGCCAGCTGCCGGCACCAGGCTTGGTTGCCAACTGACAATCTACAGCTGAAATCAAGCCACAGATAAGTTGTACTTATCCCACACCATGTTTCTGAAAAATTTGGAAATCACTCCCACAGTTTGGAAATTGCATCTGGAAATCTGATTTCTGATTTCTCTTGGGTTACCAAAAAATCTAGTAACACCGGGCCATAATCCCATCTGACTACATTCTAATGGAGGCAGCCCCTGCCACATGTGACACAGGCCTAACCACTCCCTTATTGCCTTCCTAATTCCCTGGCTTCACTCAAACATTCCACATGCTGGCCCCTGTATGCAGTGCAGTTCTTGAACCCTGTCATAGAAGAATATTGATAAAAGGTAACGTG